ACCCGATCATGCTGATTTTCGAACTTGACCTGCGTATTATGAATATTCATCAGTTCTGTAAGTTTCAAGTCAAAAGGTAAAATGGTTTTCCACTTATCGTGTTATCGGTGCTGCATATATGCTGAAAAAAGTGAAAAAACAGCATAAATTTCCTAAAAGTGACCCGATCATGCTGATTTTCGAACTTGACCTGCGTATTATGAATATTCATCAGTTCTGCAAGTTTCAAGTCAAAAGGTAAAATGGTTTTCCACTTATCGTGTTATCGGTAAAAGTGCACGGCGACGGCGACGACAGACGCAGATGATGGCTATATGTACAGACACATCTGTGTCTGTACATAAAAATAATCAAAATATGACTACTGTGTCATTTAAGATTATGTAAACATGTGACAAAGAAAGGGACAAAGATGCTGCAATTAGAAGGTCAGAGTGCTCAAATTTTATCATTGTAACCAGCTACAGGATGTTCTTAACTACAGTTGTATAATTAATACGATTATCAAACATAAGTCATTACCACAAAGGTATCATGACAGCAGCAAAGACTCTTAACACAACTTTTTAAATAATACTCACATCCTGGTAGAGCCAATGATCAAAATGATTTTTCTCCCAAAGAGTTGCCAAAAAGCAAGGGAACACATAGGTCGGGGTTTTGTCTGCCCATGATGCCTGCTGTGCAATCAGTCCAAGATAGCCATGGACCACCTAAAAATAATTGTGAATTGTGGTACATTACTCAAAAGTGAAAATCTATCAAGGAGCTACTTTTCATACAACTACAGCAAACTAATTACAACCAGAAAGTGAAATATTTACGCGGGAAAACGCCATTCCATGTTAAAGTTCAAACCCCAAATATAATGGCAATTTAATTTTCACTATAATTTCTATTTATAAAATGTGGGTGCAAGTAAGATTGAAATATGCATAAAATTTCCTTGTCACTTAAGTGCTGTAGTTATCAATTTCTATTGGTGGTTAAAAAATCATAAACCATTATATAAGCACAAAAAATTTGATGTCTTATTCTCATGCATTTCGGACAAATATTAACCATTTGATTGCACCCACTTTGCTGAATATGAAATAACTTACGTTGTCATTCAACCATTCTTTCCCATCCAATGTTCTTAAGTCACCCATCTCTAAAGTGTTGTCACCAATAACTAACTTTGCGTCTGGTTTTGGTGCGGAATAATCTTCTAATTCTGGTCCATCTACGAAGTGTTCGGGGAGTGGTTCATCTCCAAGAAGCAGAGGGGGTTCTTCAACAGGTTCGGTGGAGTGGTCAGGTTCACTAGGTGTCACAATGTCAACTGCAACATCAAGTTTCGGTTTCTTGTGTAGATGTGACTCCAAATGAGGCTTCAGCTGTGAAAAAAATAAAAAATTAATTCCCACTATGTCATTGCACTTCTTCATTTCATTTTCATGCTGAATAAAAGGACAATAATATGATGCTGAACATGATGATTAGACCTCTGTTTTGTTTTAACAAACAATAATAATAATAATAATAATAATCCAAATTTAATGAAGGAAAGACGTTTTGTTCAACTATCCAAATAATAAAAAACCCAGGCCAATAGTTACTACATCACACTTTTCCAGAAGTTTTTAACTTACTTGTAAGGTCCTATCCAGAAGTGTTCTAGTTTTCCTCCCTTTCTCCCGACGTTTTTCATCTGTCTCTTCAAAACAGTATCACCAACCTCCAACTGAAATGTCTTTACCCCCTTGGCTTTTCTTTTAGCGTATGTTTCCCTCTGTCTGGTCTTTGCCTTCTCAACATTTTCATCCACCTAATAAAACATGAAAACATTAGGATCAATTGCACAGAAATGTCACCACATTTCAAAATGTCAGAAATAGTTGAAAACTTGATCAATCCTTTGACCCTATTTTTAATGTTAACATATGTTCAGCATAGTCCAATTTTTCAGCTTGTTCTGGTACTTTTTTTTTAATTGCCCATTTAACTTCAGTGGCAAACAATAGCTGACAATTAGGGATACCAATTAAAGCTACAGACTACTCTTCATACCATTGTTGTAACTGAACTTAATAAAAACCACTATTGTCAAAGTCTCTAGAATAGGTGAATAGTATTCGTCCCCAAGTAAGAAATATACTGTTTTAACAACCAAATAATGATGGATTTACTGACATTATCTATACATGGGCTGTTATACTTACAGCTTTCTTGGTGACCTCCATTAGAGCAGCCCTTTGTTGGACCATTTCGTCAATTTGTTCTTCAATGACAACCTGCTCCTCAACTCTGTCTGTCGCATCCATCTAGTAAATCAAATATGCATGTTAAAAATACATCTCATACCTAATTTAGCATGTTAAATGTTTTAAGTGATATAATAGTAAATATTGGATCTCTTATTGTTGGAGTAACTTAAACTAATCATGCTGAACTAAATAAGCTATTTTTGGAAGTATTTCAGAAATATAATTATTACTGACAGAGAATACTACAATAACAAAAGTAATAAATGGCACTCTTATTATTTAACAAATTGGCTTTTGGTTCTTAATGGAAATGTTTTTTCATGAAACTGATTTAGAATATATACTTATTTCAAAACTAATTTCAAGTGTTTCATGTTATGATACTAAGGCTGGGTTTTCCTCACTTACCAATCTTAACCTCTCTCGGGGACCTTGGATGTCGCCCAAACATTAAAAAAAAAAGGAGTAAATTTAGTCGTGGCTTGCTTCTGTGTCCTTATGCTATAGGCCACATCTTCTAAAAACTGGTCCCAGTTATTCTGGTGGTCGTTTACCAGTTTGCTAAGACGTGCTTTGAGAGTTTGATTGGTTCTCTCATCCAATCCATTTGTTTGCCGATGGTAAGCACTGGTCACAGAACGACTTATGTTTAATGCCTTGCACATCTCCATGTTGATGGCTGCAACAAACTCTCGCCCCTGATCTGAGAGTAAGCGTTTTGGGGCACCCCACCTTAAATATAAAAAGTCAAACCATGATAAAAAAATCTGCAGTATATATTTCCCTCAACCATACTAATAACTACAGGAAGTTCACTGCCAATAAACAAAAAGCAACCCCTTAGCGGTGCAACAAATGCAAAATCTAGTAGTCTTAGTGTTCGAGTTCAACAGGTTGATTTGCAAATTGAAAAATACTCAGCATTGAAAGTGTAAAGTAGTGAAGTTTCAGAAAAAATCCATTTGTTGAGTAAAATTATGACCAGTCAATAAAGGACAAGACATCATTCTCATAAAAGTATCCATAAGCATGGTACAATAATTATTTGTATCCTAGCGTTTGAAACAACTGGATGAAGTATGTTTACATACATTCACAGCCATAGTGTCTAGCAAGACTCTATAAAGCACATGCACTGACCTGCACACAAAAGTCCTTATGTGAAGGGCCACTCCAGCAGCACTTTTGTCGAACAAAGGGTAAAAATCAACAAATTTTGTAAAATGTCAGAATATACTTGTGTCCATTCTGGGTGGTTGGTAGAGGACCTGGAAATGAGCATATTGAAAACTGTCATGCAAATAATACTATTATTGAAAGGAAATAATGTTGTTGTAGACATTCCAACTCGATTCAATTTATAATTGACTAAAGGAGCAGCATTTGGGGAATGACATTTTTATGCTTTAAATTTCTTTTAACTGTACATTTTCAGAACCACTTATCAGATAATTTGAACAGAGCTTAGACTATATACCTATCAAATCCATTCCAACCAATTCCATCGCTTCTGTCACTGTGATGGGCTTTAACTCTGGGCTCTGCGTCTTGATGTGAGACTGTTTTTGGCATTTGTCACAAGCCTGTATCTGTAATTATATATACATGATTGTATAACATTTGAGCAATTCATGCATAAACAATCATTTTTGGTATATTAATTATGTTATACAAAAAAGAAGCAGAATAAAAAAAAATGAAAAGTGCAGTGTTCATTTGTTTACAAAATTGTTTTTGGTTACAAACAAATTAATACAATTGCAAAATATACAGCAGTAAAAGATTGGCTTTAATTTAAGCAAAGGATCACAATTTAAACAACCCATAAACACTCGCACAGTAAACTCACATATTCCATGACATCTTCCTTCATTCGGCTCCACATAAAATGTGCCCGAATCTTTGTCAAGGTGGCATTGATACCGCTGTGACCCCCAGTTGCAGATGAATGGTATTCATGTAAGATGTCTTTGACTTCTTCTAGATCCAAAATTACCCTTTGCTGATTTCCATCTTTACCAACATAGTAAAGATTTTCTCCTAAAAAATAAACAATTTCAATTTTTTAATATACATTAAGTTGTGACATTAAGTTCAAACTGTCTGAAAAATAATTAAGATATAGGTTGCAAATTGTCTGAGTTTTGTAAAAATCAAAACACCCAGTCAAGAAATCTTGCAATTTTATTGTCACCATGTCCAGCAAGACAAAAAATATATATGAGATTTTCCTGGCAAATGGTATTTTTAATACCTTATATTTAATTGGGGATATAATGAACAAAGCTACAAAAATTACAAATAGGGTCAAAATCAATGTCAAAATTCCATATGTCAAAAAGTTGGATGTGGCTTAACATGAAAATCTCCCCCATTCAAAATTTCATATAAAAAGCCTGACTCCACCCCCACGAAATTTTGAGTCCCCCTCACAAAACTTTATAAATCTTATTTTATTTGAGTATATTACTTTTATTTAATAGTATGCATAATTGAGGATACATTGGCACATTTTGAAATTTTATTTTAGAAAATAATAAAATTAAAAATGTTTATTTTTTCACCTAATGACTCCTATGAAAAGGCTAAGGGAGTTCAAATCCTTCAGGTAATAAGATGAATACTTGTTTCAAAAATTATCAATTTTCACCAAAAATTTCACCACCAAACTTTTAACTAACAAAATATCTGTCATATGCAAATCATGTGGAAAACAATGGTATGGTGTCTGAATATAAAATAGGGCTTTTTCTTAATGGGAGTTCAAATGAATGGGATATATATATATATATATATATATTTCATTTTTACAACCAATATTTTACCACCAAGCTTTCAATACACATAATAATTTTACCTTTTTTAAAGAGAGGAAAATCAGTTGTAGACAGCATTATTACTCCACATGAGAATTTGTCCAAAGTTACAGACTTAAGGGTACATACAATGAGTGACTATATAGAGAATCACAATCTACAGGACCTTTTAAGTGAAAGATGTAAACATCCCAATCACTCAATATTGGAAAATACACTGAAACGCCTTTATGGATAACTTAGGTTGCACAATATAAACCAAAACAAACAAATAATTAGTAACAGTAGTGGCTGTAGAATATACAAGTTTAAAGAAGGTAAAAGTGACATCTTTACGTCAGATATATCAAGGCTAGCAATCAAACAGATTATACATAGTATGGAACTAATGAGGGAAAGTCAAAATGAAGTTGACTATATGTATGAACTTGTAGTTAAAGAATTATTTAATGAAATGAATGCCACTGTTCCCTTTGTTGATATGAAAACGGTGGGAAATAAAAAAAAAAGTTGAGAATATCCAAACCATATTGGTGTGACGAATTAACTGATCTATGGAAACTTATGCATGATGGCTATACTCTGTTATAATTTACTAAGAGATTAAAACAGAAAAATACAGGGACTAACTTTAAATGTAACAAGGCAGCAAAGCTGTCAAATGTACAGACAAAAAACAGGAAAAAAAGATGCAAAATAGGTCAATTTGTCAATTTTGATGCAATAATAAATAATGCTTATAATAGCACAGTCTGTCAAGTGATTTTTAATCATGCACAACAGGTTACATGGTCAATAACAGGAGCAGATCCAGAGATATTTTCTGACAGTATTCCAAAGTATCTATGTTGATCCATCCTCCATTCTGATGGTCTTCCAACAGAAAAAAATAGATACCAGTCAATATAAACTTAATAACCTGACTGTCTTCCGGAAGACCCAGAAGATGGTCTCAATCCACCCCTTCAATAAGATTACAGTTTCAGGACCATGAGAGACCAAAGTCACATGATGAAAGTCTCAATATTTGATAAATGATGACAATGCATAAAATAATATAACATAATGTTTAAAGACATAAAAAACAATACAACTGCTTATGTGGAAATACAGAAAATGAGCAGAGCCTCAGGTGGATGGAAGTTATAAGTCACAAATGCCGGCCCAGTGTTTGAGAAAAAATTAACAAGGCAGCAATTGTTGATTATTATTGATTATTGTCCTCTTTGTTCCACTTCTGACAGTTCCTGAAAATTTCAGCAAAATCGGTCCATAACTTTTTGAGTTATGTTGATGACAGACAAACAGGGGTGAAAATATAACCTCCTTGGCAGAGGTAAATATAATAATAATAATTTATTGAGCACAAAGAAATGGTTTACATTTACAGGCTCTCTAACTAATACAAGTATTAAAAAAGAATAATAAACTATGCTCATCCACGCAGGGATACACGCTTTTTAATTGCACTGTTAACAAATTTACATATGGCAATCACACTCGCACACGCGCAGAGAGTGGATTGAGTAAAACAGTTTACTTTTCATAATGTTTGCAGTAGCAGTGCAAAAAGATTATTGTCAATTTTGATGTAACATTACATAATAAATTATAGAATAATTATCACCAATTTTTGATTATTGATTATAAATAGCATGGACATGTAGAAAATTTGATTACCATACGGCTTCATGTCCATGGGAGCTCTGAGTTCCACAATGAATATGCCAAAAATATAATGAATATTTCACTAAAATGCATAACTTCCAGAAAAAGAAGCCAATTAGACTGCTTTTCCAACTCAGGCTGCATTTTAGTCATGTGTTTCTTTTTTGAAAGTTTGACAATCATAAGTAACACGGTTTTCCCATAATGGTCATCATGGCAGCACCACCAAAAATTGTGTTTTCTTCTATTTTGATGCAATGTTACATAATGTTTAACAGCATAATAACCATCAAATGTTATCGATAAAATATTAGTAACATGGACATTCAGAAAACGTGACAAGCAAAGGTCTTCAGAATCATGGAACTTCAAAGTCACACCTTGAAAATGCCAACATGTGAAAAATTAAATTTTCACAAAAAAACTGTTTAACTGCCAGAAAAAATTACCAATCAGACTGCATTGCCTACTGAAGCTATATTTTAGTCCCATGTTTCTTTCCTGTAAGTTTGAGAACAGTAAGTGACATGATTTACCTTAAATGGTCATCATGGGAGCAGTGCCCAAAATGGGGGTTTCTTCAAATTTTGATGCAATATTACATAATGTTTAACAGCATAATGACCATTAATTTTTAATAATAAAATATTAGTATCACGGATATTCAGAAAATGTGACTAGCAAAGGTCTTCAGGCCCATGGAACTTCAAAGTCACAACTTGAAAATGCCAAAATGTAAACAAGACAGCACTGTTCTGATATGGGTTCATTTCCATTTTTAACAATTTTTAACATAAAACAAAATTACTGCCATTTTTATATGACCAACTAAGAAAATTGATGAGATGGGAAAAATATCAATAGAGCAGTNCCAGAAAAAATTACCAAACAGACTGCATTGCCTACTGAAGCTGTATTTTAGTCCCATGTTTCTTTCCTGTGAGTTTGAGAACAGTGGGTGATATAATTTTCCTTAAATTATCATCATGGGAATAGTGCCCAAAATAGGGGTTTCTTCAAATTTTGATGCAATATTACAAAATGTTTAACAGCATAATGACCATCAATTTTTAATAATAAAATATTAGTATCATGGATATTCAGAAAATGTGACTAGCAAAGGTCTTCAGGACCATGGAACTTCAAAGTCATATCTTGGAAATGCCAAAACGTAAACAAGACAGCATCTGAATTGGGTTTATTTCCATTTTTAACACTTTTTTAACATAAAAAAAAAAATTAACAATTTACTGCCATTTTTATATGACCAACTAAGAAAATTGATGAGATGGGAAATATATCAATAGAACAGTGTTAAATGTCCAATTTCCTCCATTCTAAGATTCTGAACATAGTGGATGATTGAATCTGACAAACTGCAATCATATGAGTTTATTTCCATATTTGACACTTAATTACACAATACACGATAACAATTTTACCATCATTTTTACATAATCAACTGACAATGTTGTTAAGATGCAGGAAATGTCAAGCAAACACTTTTACGTATCTTATTAGTTCAAAAATGAGACTATTAACATGCCTAAGAATTGAATCTGAGGAAATGTGAAAAAAGCATAACTTCTAAAATAATGGCCCGTTTACGCTGATTTTCATACTCAACCTATGTTTTAGTAAGATAGACCACTCCTGTGAGTACAATGACAATTGGCATATCTGTTTTTCTTATATTGTGTAATCAGTGTTGCATATATATGCTGAAAAAAAATAAAAAAAAACAGCATAACTTACATAAAAGTGGCTCTATCATGCTGATTTTTGAACTTGACCTGCATATTATAAATACTCATCAGTTCTGTAAGTTTCAAACCAAAAGGTAAAACCGTTTTCCACTTATCGTGTTTACGGTGTTGCATATATGCTGAAAAAATTGAAAAAACAGCATAACTTCCCTAAAAATAGCCCGATCATGCTGATTTTCGAACTTGACCGGCATATTATGAATATTCATCAGTTCTGTAACTTTCAAGTCAAAAGGTAAAATGGTTTTTCACTTATCGTGTTTACGGTTAAAGTGCACGCCAACGGCGACGACAGACGCAGATGATGGCAATATGTACAGACACATCTGTGTCTGTACATAAAAACACAAGAGGAGGAGGGAACTGTGGGCAGATTTAAGGTGAAAAAAGATTTTTTTGCCTGCAGTTCCTGTGGCCAACCACAGCGAAAGGAGAATGGGGGAAGTAGTTAGGAATGTGGTTTTCGACCTGCAAATTGAGAGGCGTTATATACTTTTTAATGTAATTTTTTTGGATGAACCTTGAATATTTTGAGGCGCAGTCTTAGTAAGCTGCTATTTTTAGCCACTGACTGGGTCTGATGTACAATTCTTGCTAAACGTAGCAAGAGCTGTACACAGGAGCTGTTTTTTAACTATTTACTCTGATTGGAATTTTAATGACGACCATTTTATTATGTAAAACTTGTTGATATTATAATTTCATCTCGGACCTTTGTAAGCAAATTTTAATGACGATTATAAAAACTTGAAAACCCAAAGCAATGTTTACGAATTACTGCAATTTTTTAGTCTTAGTAAGCTGCTATTTTTAGCCACCGACTGGGTCCAATGTACAGTTTTTGCTATGTTTAGGAGCTGTTTTGGACCTGTTATGTAATTATGACGTAACAACACGTAATCAATCTGTCCATTTCAAATGGGGACCCCTGGGGACCTGTTACGTAAGTATGACGTAACATCACGTAATCATTTTGTTCATTACCACCGGGAACCTGTTATGCAATTGTGACATAACAACACGTAAGACTAACTGTGACATAACAACACCTGCGCCTATTGTTTTATGATCAATTAGTGGGTTACGTATCGTTTCAAACATCAACGAAACTACATATTGCATTAAAAAATTAACTGGCATCGCAACATCAAGTAATTCCATTGTTTTTAGATTAATTAGAATGGCCTTTGGATGCAAGAGGATTGTTTTATGAATTAATTATTGTTTTAAAATCAATCGAATGCAACAACAAAAGCAGAACAGTCTTTTTAATCAATTTATTTTTATCTTTGATCAAGACCACTTACTTGAATGTTATTTAATGTAGGGTGCGTCTTATCTTGACACAAGTGACACCTGTTGACACCATTTTATCCAGGAGGCGGCCATCTTGACCTTGGCACGTGATACACCAACTGACCTATGCTAAGAATTATGTAACATTCAGCCCCCCTTTCCGTTGCGGTACTGCGCTCGACACAAAAGAACGCAAATAAAAATGTGTATTTAAAATTGCAGCATAAACAGTTAGAGTGCGTCGTTGCCATGGAACAGCGTTGTTTATTGCGTCCTACTGGGATTATAACTGGTACACAAGATCTATATATCAGTTCAAAGCAGGCACACGTTTGCCAAGGTAGAACTTAAAATGTTGTTTTACATTAATATCGTAACTGAGGACGGAAGAATGTTTTTTTTTACAATAAGCACGGAGGAGATAATGCTCCTCCTACTGATGGCGGAATTAGAAGTTCCGTATGGGTCGGAGCGAAATCCAATTATTTTGGATTAACCGGTAAGTGTTACCTATGTATTCATGTTTTAACGTAATTAAACTTGATTTAATTTAAACAATATTCGCGTGATTTCTTCAACGAGGTCTATAAAACTCATCCCAGCAGACAAATAAAACATGTCAAGTGAGTATAAATATATCGTTGAACTTAACGTTTGTTGATTTTTCTAAAATTATTTTTGAGATTATTTATCTATTTATTTTTTAGCTGAAGATTTTCATCCTCAAACCTGTACGTTGTGTATTGTACGTTGGCGGGAGCAATTACCAAACTGACCACTGCAGGGGAACACAGAGCACAGAGAGAGAGAGAGAGAGAGAGCAATAACCAAAATGACCGCTGCAGGGGAACACAGAGCACAGAGAGAGAAAATGAGTATTATATTTTAAAAATAGAAGATATTTACAAGTGAATGTAAATTTTTACTTTTAATTTAACAACAAAAACACGTATGTTCAAAGATGGTCAGAAACAACTACAATGTGTAACAATAAATCGGTAAAATGCTAACTTCAAAGAGAAAATGCTCATTTTTATTTTAAAGAGGAAGAGAAGAGTACTCCCATATTTATTTTTGAATTGAAAAAAAAGTATGAAGTGATGGTTGCAGCTACAAAAGGTCCCACTCTGAACAGATTGTTTATGTACACTAACCACCTGCATTAGTGATTTGCATGTTGTAAACCAAGGCGATTATTTAGGAATAAAGACATAGGGCGGCTTCGTCACTGTTGTGCAATTATTGTAATAACATGTCTTGAAATATTGTTCGAAATATTAAAAAAGTTTACAACATCTTTTATTGGGGATTCATGTGTGGTTCTTCCAACTGAGAATTCTTATTTTAAGACGAAAAATTTGAATCGGAAAAATGCTGTTATACTTTTACGTGAAAGGGAAAATGTTTTCCCATTTTTTAAGTCGAAGAGAAAAAAAATACCCCAACGTTTACATTTGAACTGGTAAAATGCTGTAAAACTTTGACTTGATAGAGAAAATACTTTTCATTTTTACATTAAAGAACAATGGTGTTTCATCTGCAGGAGAAAAAATACTCAGCTTCTTAAAGACAAGGTGAAAAAAATACTGCAATGTTTAACCTTGAATAGGTAAAATGCTGTAGAATTTTTACTTGAAAGAGAAAAACTCAGATTTTTAAAAATGAAGAGAATACTATCATAAAAATACTGTTAAAAATGCTTTGAATTTTGTCACCAAAACGCCTTGTGCTTAACAGATTATGTACACCTACAGCGTGCAATACTGTTTTGTTTGTTGTACAAACTAAGGCGATCATTTAGAAATAAAGAGAAAGCCTCATATGAATCAAAATAATATTCAATGCAGCTGTGCACTACAACAGTTGCTTGACTAGCAAACAATACTGCTTTACTATAACACTACCTGGCTCATAGTGTCATTCATTTAATGCTATCATTCAAATACAGTTTACTTCAATAAAATGGGAGGTTTTAATCTATTAAGTGTTTGCGAACCACAAACTATCACAATACTCTAAGTATTTGGCTTGCATACTGCTCTCTTTGTGCATAACAATAGTCTCACCTGACTGTTAGCGGATCCTTGTTTGTTTACTATGCATCGCGTTCAACTGAACCGCAAACAATGCCACTTCTCCTTTTTTAGATCAATAATAAATGCGGGTCTTTTTTGTTCATCCAATGAAAAACTAAAACAAATCCCTACCTTTCAACAACTTGTGTATACAACAACTATTCTAACCAATATAAACATCTCATTTTTAGTGAAGTAAAACAAAACAAAACATATTATCTTTATTTTTGGAGAAAAAAAAACTATATATTTAGAGGGCCATTCAGGGCCATTCCTTTTTAGTACGGCTCCCGTCCTTTTATTACTACTGGGGGAGTACAGCAATAAGAATATAACTGATTTAGTTATGGTTACATGTATATGCCGTACTACATTGGAATGTTATGCATAATTTAATGCTTTTTTTTTTTTAAGTTGAAGCGCCATACTGAACCCATGGCTGAAACGGTCAAAGAAGGAGAAGAACAGGATCAATAAAGCTTAAAATTGGTAAGCACTATAACATGTACTTGAGTGAGATGAACACTGGAATATAATTAGAAAAATTAGTAAAGGAAATAAAATGTGTACACGTGTACTTTTGTTGTCGGTAAAAAATTCTTATCATTATATGCATGCATTATACACTTGATTTATTTTTTTAAATTACAGTCCTGACGATTAAGACTGAAAAGAAGATTGCGTCTGTCCTTAGGCAAAGACATAGAATTACAGAAGAAGCGACAGGAGAGATTCAATTGTGACTTTTTTTTTTTTGACCATTTAAGATACACTTTATGTATGTATGTATATAACAAATAGGATTTAGTTTGTTATTAAACCACATTACAGCACTATGTCTTTTGATTTGATTTTATTGCTACAGCTGTAATAATTGTAAGGGAAAAGCACTGCAGACCAATCGTCACAACAATTGCAATGATCACGAGAATGGTCCTTAAACGTAAGCCGGTTAACCAAAATTGACGAAGGGAAAGGGGGGAGGGGAGGGGTGGTAGCCTGGCTGCAACATGGGTGTGGGAGTAGAAGATCAATCATCTGTCAATCATTTCATAATCAGATTCATAATACAGATTGGCTGAGACTAGGGGAAGAGGGGGGTATAAATACCACGTTTCAAACAACGTCCTGGTATACTTCCAAATACACCATGGAGGCTATTTGGGAGGAAAATTTGTCAACTCTTGAGGAATTGTGTGAGGACCAACTACAAAAGGAGATCAACACACAGAATGTCATTGACATCATGACATTGGCAAATAGAATGGGGTGCACGTCCCTTAGGGCGTGCTGCGTAAACTTTTGCGTGCAGAACTACGCACGCATCAGCATTAAAGCATTAAACACACTATTAAGGGACCCAATGCTGTGCAAGCTAGTCATGGACCAGTTTGCATACACTCTTAGTGACATACACGAAGAGGTAAGTTAACAATTAATTTAACTATTCCTATATATGTATATATACATATGTATATAAATAATGTAAACATTACTATATCACTAAATGTTAAGAGAAGTACAGCGCTAAAAAATGTAAACGTTATATGCTGTAATAAGGTGGAATGTAATGCGTAATTAAATGTTTTCCTTTTTTTTTTTTTCTAAAAGCTGGAACGTTAAACAGGTCCTCCCCAATAGGAAGAAGAAGATGAGCAAGGGGAAGAACGGGATCAGTAGGGTTAAAACTGGTAAGCACTAAAAAATGTACTTGATTGAGGGGAATACTGAACTATAATTAGAAAAATAAGTAAAGGAAATAAAATGTCGACTTTTAGATGTCGGTATGAAAATCCTTTTATTATATGCGTGCGTTATATAATAGATTTTTCTTTTCTTTTTTTAATTACAGGTCTGACGATTAAGACCAAGAAGATTGCCCATTGCATCCGACCATGCCATAGTCTTCTTCGATTTTTATATGTAGTTACATAGAAAATTTAAAAAATTAAACCTTTTGTTAAAAATAAATGGTGTTATTGTTAGTTAATTTTTCCAAACAAGAAAACATATAATACCATAATATTAATGGGGTGGTGCCCCGCAATCGGCGGCACCAATTCGGTGGGAGAGCTCGTTGCTCTCCTCTTCACATTGATAAAAACTATGGCTCCACAAAATCACTTTCAGCGGGCGAAGATAGTTATTATCCCGTTCGCTGACTGCGATTTTGAAACTTTAGACGACCTAAAGCGGGCCGAGTTTTGGTTGAGAGGACTGAGGACGACACTGGTATGGCACCCTGGAAGCCCTGCTGCTGCAATGGGCGCCAAACAAGCTGCCCTGGACAACGTGAGGAGAAGGGCCTTTCACCCCATATATCAACCTAGGGCAGTAGTGTCTCCCACTCCCTGAGACATTTAAGACAGCGTAAGGAGAAGCGTTACTTACCCAAGATACCGCCCTCGAACAGTAGTGTCTCCCACCCCCAGAGGTCAAGCAGCCTTTGCCACGCCCAAGTCCACATCATCGGACCACAGAAAAAGAAAGGCCAAAGAAGAGGAAGAGGGAACTGTGATCAGGTAAAATATGAAAAAAAAATTTATTGCTTGTATTTCCTGTGGCCAACCACGACACAAGGAGAATGGGCACAGGCAACTAAAGGGGTATTGGCACTGCCCTAACAGTGCTCTGACTTATGAAGAGTGGAAGAAAATGACTATAGAAAAAATGAAAGAAAAAAAACGAAACCAAATAGTGCTTCTAAAAAAGTATAAATAAATGAAAATTGTTGAAAATTTTTTGTCTACTGCTGTCAAGTTTAGGTTTAGGATGTGACACAGCTGTTACTCGGTGCCACTCTCCCTGGGGCCAAGCTCTCAACCACACCAGATCTCCCATAGGCACGCCCCAAGCCAGTGCAACCCTCCCTCCCTCATGGCCTGGTAGAGATGGGAGTACCTCTGGAAGAAAACGGAGCTGGCCAGGTCACCCCAACCAGGGCAAAGAAAGTGCCATGCCCCCCAGTACTCAACTATCTTTTGCTGTGCCCAAGTCTACCTCCTGGTACCACAAAAAAAGAAAAGCACAAGAGGAAGAGGGAACTGTGGGCAGATATAAGATGAAAAAAGATTTTTTTGCCTGCCGTTCCTGTGGCCAACCACGATGAAAGAAGACTGATTACAGGCAACTAAAGGGGTATTGGCACTGCCCTTACAGTGCTCTGACTTATGAAGAGTGGAGGAAAATGACTTTAGAAAAGATGAAAGAAAAAAATGAAACCTTCACATAGTGTTTGTAAAAAATAAATAGTGTATCATGAGAAATATTTGAATTTTTTAAGCTTTAGTGTACAGCCATGATAATGCAGTTCATGGTTTATAACTTGTACACAGCGTCTAAATAACAGTTTGGCATTTGTTAGCTGAGCTACCTATCAAAAAAAAAAAAAAAAAAAAAAAAACGATTTTCCATATTTTCATACAACTGGAAGATGGGAGACAGTTTTCCTTTGTCATCTATACAGAGGAAATTATAATACATCTGCTCATGTTATTTTGGGCAGAATTGGAAGTTCCGTTAAACTCGGAACACAATCCAATTATTTTGGATTAGACAGTCAGTGATACCTTGGCGTTCATGTTTTAACGTAATTAAACTTGATTTAATTTGTAATTCTAGTTTAAATAATGTTTGCACGGTGAAAAATGCTGTCTATAAAGTCACCCCAGCAGACAAATTTTTTAACAAGTTAAAACCACACACAGAAAAAAAAACTTGAATAAAACATGTCGAGCGAGTATACATATATCGTTATACTTAACGTTTGTTGATTTTTTAAAAATTATTTTTGAGTTTATTTATATATTTATTTTTTATAAGCTGAAGATTTTCGTCAAAACCTGTGTTTTGTACTTTGGCGGGAGCTACACATGTGATCCTCATCCTAATTGCGCTGGCGCCAGTTTCACCAGATCAATTACCAAAATTACCGCTGCGGGGGAACACAGCTCTGTTGCCTTCAGATCACAGGGAGAGGAACATATCGGCTGATAACCTCTACCAGGGTCGCAGATATTTTTTTTTTCACAGGTCTATGGAAAAGATCATAAGGAAAATACACAAAGTGCACAAACTAGCGCATACCTGAACAGCATTATGGGCAGCTACCTCAGCGACTTCACAGACCAGCTAGATAAGGGAAACCATATTACCACATACACTTCTATAAACAGTTTGAGTAAACAAAGTTATTTACCACCTATAGAAATAGAAGAAAGAATTTACGATTCCATTGCTTCTCGACATAGCTGGAAGTTTTACTAAACCATGAAAACTTATTGCTTGTTTTTTTTTTTACAGCTTCTTCTTATACAATATATTTCTAGAACTTACATAATGGTTGCCACCAGTGCACCAAAGGCCTTTGTAAAAACTGATGCATAAAGAGTTAAGTCTAGTATTGAACAATACACCACACACTAGTGCCATGGACACAAAACAAGTGGTATAAGTTATTAAGAAGATGGAAAACTCAGGTCTATGGAAAAGGTTACAAGGAAAGTAAAACAAGGTCACGAGGAGGAAGAATGTCAGGAGGAAAAATGGTACATAATTGGAAATCAGTATGTGGGGGGACAACATTATTAGATTGTACAAAATGTACCAAATTATCTAGGTAAATATAGTATTTTCGCATTTGCCACAATTAAGTAGCATAACCAGAATCCACTTTTTTCCTACAAATCCTCTCACAAAAAAGCTTGGCAATCACCAGCTGTGACCACTTTCTCAGGATCACAAATATTAGGATCGAATTAAAATTGAAAAAAAAAAAAGAAAAAAAAAGATCTACGGATTTCCAGAGTTTTACAAACCCTGTCTTTGGACTGATCAAATTCTATGGTTCACACTTATAACATGCCTCTCTGTAACTCTGACTTAGCTTTACCCTGCCTGCATGGTATCGTTGTAAAAACTTACAGTATAAGGTGTCCAGGTCAAAGTCTGCACAGTTGGCAGTCGTTTCCAAAATGCACATCTTGTTCCCCTATGTTACCACAACTAGAGGCAGTTTACAAGAAGACTGCACTAACATCATCTATTTCTTAATGATGAAATTCTTCAACATAAAGATAACTGATGCATGGATGTTACAGTGAAAACTTGAAAATTTCGCCAATTAAAAATTTACAAGTATTTTGAAATGCAGGCGTCCAGCATGACCAAATTAGGTGCCAACCTTTTCAAAATTATGGAGAAGCTCATTGTCAAGTTTGACAAAATTTTCATAGTGAAAAAAAAAGTTATGTCTGCAATCAATTGTCTTTCAACAAAATGTTCAAATTTTTACTGTAGTTAAGCACTGACACTGCGCCACATAACAAAGCACCTATTCAATGATACCATTTTTGATATCTTTGTAGGGTCCCTAAGGGATCAAACCTGCTAACTTCTTCACAGCTTGCCTTTGGGGCTGGTAACCTTTGAGTTGATGGTCAATGGCAACTTCTGGTTGTTCACTGGACCTTCACTCTTCTGAAATGACCACTTGCCTCTTTCACTTTCTGTGAGGGACACTAGGGGAGGTGGTCAGACATGACCAGGATCGTGGCAGACATCTTAACTGACCACTGTCAACCTCAGTCCTTAATCTCTGCTTCATCCCATGGCCCATAGATGTTGCTAAATTCAAAAAATTTGATAGGTTAATAAAAATGTTTTTGATCAATTTGCCATTTAAACAAAAAGACTATATTTGTTTTGGCATTCTTTTATCAACATAGCACTCAATTCACTTCAGGATCAATAATGCAAAATCGCGTTTCCATCAGTTTTTCAGTAATTGTTTAGAAAATCTCTCTGGCTTCCAAAATCATAAGTATTTTTTGTATGGTCTTAGCAAGTTTTTCTGTTAATCTGTGTCAGTTTTCTTCTAATCATAACTCACTTTTTGTATGGTTGAAGACTTATCAGCCAAGCAGGGCAGACAAAGGTGATGAATACATACAACAGGGTCAACAATACAGCAGCCACTGTTGATAACGTTGCTATAGTAACAACTGTAACCAGGGTCAAAATGATGGTCAAGACCAGCTGACTGTGTTTTACTTTTACCTGAAAAAAGAAACATTGTTAAGCAGGTATTTTACAGTATGCATATTTAACTAACAAGATTTGTGAAAGAAACTTAAAGTTAATTAGATATTTGTATATTTATCAAATGTCAATGATCATAAGGGAGTTTTAAAAATCAACCAAAATTGCAAATGAATGTACACGAAAACAACTTAATTCAAAACTTGAAACTGCTGCATTAATTTCAAAGAAGTTAACTGTTTAAATTTTCATCATTCAGCACTTAGATATGCACTAGTAGTACAGTTGTTTATCAAAACTACATGAATATTTTAGGTCCAACACAACTTGTTGTTGATAATTTTTCCCTCACCTTTAACTTCCGTCTTAAGACTGGCCACAAAGCGAATACCTCCACGGCCAGTGTCACTGTGGTGAAGGCATGCCAAGTGGTATGCAATCTTGACGCCAGGCAAACTGAGGCAAAAATAGCTGCATTCAAAGACAATGCCCCAGAGACACTGAAATTTTGAATCAAAATTATTTTATTACAAAAAAAAAAGATGAATTTTGATGTTTTATGCATTGATCCACTTTTTTTTAAAGATAAGATGGAATCATAGAAGATTAAACACTGAATCACTCCTTTCATACTTGCTTGGTATAATATTAAACAAATACTTTATATTATATTTATTTCTCATCAATCACCTGCCTTTAAAATGAAACAAAAACCATGGTTATTTAGATAACAAAACTCTGGCAGGTTCTTGCTTACTTACACGGCAGCATCCGCCCCATAGTCATGAAATAACAAATTGGCCAGCAACATCGCTGCCGTCATGGCGTAAACCGTATCTGTGCTGATGGTATCAGTAAGGGTCATCAAGATGGGGGAGAGGCCATAGCTGAAGGCTACAAACATCAATACTGTCTTCATGGCTGACCACCCTGAACAAAGAGAAATATGATGTTCACCAAACTGAGGCAATTTATATCCACAGCTAATGAAGCAACAGACTGGTCAAAAGCTTAAAGGTACATACAAACTGAGCATCGATGGAGCATGGATTCCCAGTGACACATGTAAACCACTTCTACTAGTTTCTTATATGACTCAAATTAGTTCAACATGCCAAGAGATAAACTGAATAGATCACTTGATCAGCCATAAAAGAGCTTTAGACTGCTCCTTTCTTTAAATTTTTGGTCGGAAATTTAACCTACTTCCATGACCTACTTTTCTTCCCCATTGACATACAGCATTGAATGCCAGCAGAAAAATCTGTTCAAACATCATTTTTGGGTAAAATTAAACAATGCCTTTTAGTAATTCTCTTAGTTATACTACTTGAAACTATATGCTGGCATTTGGTTGGTTTTTGTGACAAAAAAATGACTTTGTATGCACCTTTAAATTCTGTATAAGACTAGACTTTAGACTCAATAGTAGCCTTCTAGTTTTAAGAACGGAATTACTTTCTTCTGTCACCACCTTTTCTGTTGAGCAAATCTAAAACCTATTTAAACAAAATATTGGCCCATCTCCACAGGTGCGAAAAACCCAAGTCAATAAATTTGAAGAAAATTGTGGAGAGGAACAGACAAAATCCTAAATTATCTAATAGGTCTTACCTGTTCTTGTCTGCATGTTGTCCGAGTCTTCTTCCATATATTCCAGCAATTCATGGATGCAATAGCCAATGATGGTCAGGAAGGAAGACACACAGAACAGGACTTTGGGCGAGAGCACCTTGTCATCCATGAAGAGGAACATGGCCACAAACAAGCACACGCTGAAACAAAAAGAAATATTCACATATCATTTTTGATTTCATTAAAGACGTATCCAGACTTTATCCAGGAGAAGGAAGAAGCAACTCACCCCCCTTTTTTAAAATCCTGAACGAATCAAAGAAATACAAAATCACTGAATTCAAGGTTTACCCACTGTCTTTCATGTTAAGGAACTTGGGCAGTTGCCTTAAGTAACTGTCCAAACAGCACCAATTTTAAACACCAGTTGACAGAAAAAACAGGGTCTACAATTCAGATCTTTACACCTGTTTACTTAGTAGCCAAGATACACAGAATTTAAATCCCAGTTTTCATGCTGGATTTGGTTACATAATACACTGCTATATTTGTGAAGCAATCCCAGACTAAAACCAATCAATGTGAATTTTTCCCACAGTATATCTACCTGTGTCCTTTTGTGTTTCCCCTGTTAATAAGTGATTCACTAGTGAATGGTTAATGGCTTCTTGATAGGTAATGCATTATTATGTAACTTGTGTAATGTGTGTGTATGTGATTGGGAGGGGGGGAGGGTGCACCTTTTACTGTGCAAAAAATTACATACCAAGGGTAAATCATAAGGAAGAGATCTCTTGTGGTTACCATTACTGCCAAGTTACAGTTAAGTAGTATCATATGTGACTTACAACTAGCAGAACCAGAATTACAAATAGTCTGTATAATCATTATAATTGCATTACATGATGTCATTCTTTAACAGAGGCCATTGGTTGTGGGACTGTATGTAATTATAGTAACAGTAAACCAACAAGTCGCTATTGAATGAATTCACTATAATTGCCATAGTATACGTGTTATTGCTCTTTAATAGCTGCCATTGGTTGTTTGAATGTAATTATAGTAATTGCCCTTAAAGTGCCAACTAAACACAACAGGATAGCAGTGAACAAAACTAGCAGACTACAGAAAGGACCATTCACTATAAACTGTGCATTCACTGGGACTCGCACATAATGGCACCAGATTAGCCCCCTCGTTTTCATCACAAATTCAATCACCAGCTCTTTGTGTTCTACTTAGTGCCAGGAGAAGGTGTGATAATCTGCTTATGTGGCTTCATTCAACCAGAGTACCCATCCATTGTGAACTAACCCAAATCCTGAGCAAATACAGCAATTATTCTGGTTACTCTGTCAACACCTAATTACCTGCAGATCTGCTGAGTGACCACCCCAGATTCCTGGACAACTGACCAATAGTGGTATGTTCTAATGTGAACTGAAACAAAATGGGAAAGTAATTACTGTACCACAAAACTTAACTTTCCTTAATGAGAAATGTGGATTTAAATTCACCTTTTAGATCAATAGTAATCAGGGTGCTAGTTAAGTAAAATGTTTCAGGTGTTCTTATTTATTTTTACAGGACAATATGTGCTAAGACGTGAAAAATGAAACTGCACACAACTAGAACTAAAATATAACTAATTTTCAATACTGTTACAAGGTAACATAGCTAAGTTTCTTCCTAGCTCAATTCTTTCCTCCAGCAATGTCACTTGATATGCTGAATTATTTCATATTATTTCTGCACCTTTGCCATGGTATGAAAGAATCATTTGAAGGAAAATTCAATTTTTATTGTGCTTCTTCACTGTGCACATGGTTGTACCTTGTACGTAAAGGTTGAGAACAGTAAAGGCCAGTAAACATTCCATTTCCAGTGTGAGATCTAATATGTGCGGTCAGCAGAGACTGGGCGTGTAGATCAGACCCGGTAAACTGATTTTTAACATGTATTTATCTATATCACCTTTATATAAACATTATAATCATATATTTATTTGTAAACTTGTTAGTGCTCTGTTATAGTTAGATGTGCTGTCACTGGTTGTACCTTGTATGTGAAGGTATTTATCAATAAAGAATCATTTAACATTTATAGTACCTGCACTGCATGTTGAAAATAAGACCACTTTTCCTAACGCTAAGACCAAGTCTCAACCCTTGCACTGCTGAATCTTAAAGTTGATGATTTCTTCAATTTCTTCTTGATCGATTGAATTTTGAAGAAACCTCACACAAAGCAAAGAAGAGATTCACCATTCACTTTCTGTGCTGCAAAGCAAAGTAGTTCAAAAACAATATGGCGGCAAGGAGCACATTTTCCCATTAAACGTCGTAACTACAGCACTTGATATGCATTGCCCCAAACCACGATTTCTTAACTGCAGTGTACATGTTTTAAAACATTATTAGTCTTCGGTCAGCAAAATTTTCCCGCTTTTGGTCAGCCTGTGCCATTTTCATTAGGGCGCACTCACTGCGAAGACTATTTTTTGGCAATCCCCACTAAAGCCAAGGTAAATTACGCACACACGCCAGCAAATATCAGACAATCAGCTTCGGCAATCCATGAACTATCTTATCTATTAACCTCACCTAAAAGTTAAAAGAGTAAACTGGACAGGAATGCGTGGTTCTTTGTCCAAAATGTGAAGCTAAACGATGCCGCTGCGTACGGGGACCTGTGGTTTCTACAAAAAAAAACACAAAATTTGCTCACCATTCTTTTGCATCTCATCCAAAAAGGACTCATCTACATAATTATCAGGTACGCCTTGGTCTTCGTACAGAACCTTCTTCCATCTCTTCTTTGGTTCCATAGTGATAGTATGTCTTCCCATCAGGGAGACGGCAGTGCGCCACCCTCCAAAGGCGCGCCCACTGTGCGAACACTACTTGAGGTTCAGCACATGTCAGTTACAGATTCAGCCCACGTGATCACATTGTTTATATTTCGGTAATCGCAATGTGCAGAGATCAACAAATTATATGACTGTTGAAGTGAGGTTTATAAGATTAATCTATAAAAGTATATTTAGTGTATAAATATGCGGATAATAAGCTCACTGCATAGACAAAAATAATGAATATACATAAATGAATATAGAATCATGGGTAAAGCCGCCATGTTTGTTGCTATTGTGGTGACGTCACTACAGCTTGACAACAAGAAGCCATATTCCTTCGTGGTAGGTAATACTTTTTTTCGTAAAGTTATTATTTCAAAGAATTAATTATGTAGAATAGGTTGCAATGCTTAACACGTCGGCAGGATAATCACGATTTTTAATGATCTAATTCATGTTTCAAAATTCGTCTCTGGCGTCTCTGTTTCAAGTATATTTTTTACCTTAGTTGTTTTTTGCATTTCGCCTTTGTAGAATATTTCCTACTCAAAATATATCATAATACTTAATATGCACTTCGACAACCAGTATACAGTTCTTGATCACATGCACACCATTAAACACACAGACTTTCACCTGATATGCATAAATGGGAGCGGCATACTGTCGGCAATATTTACATGTAGTTATTACACAACGTGTTAAAGGTTAGAGAATAAAGGGTCTTTATCTTTTTAACACAAATTATAGTTGTAAGTAATCAAGCGATTTTTATAATGCTATCCTAAAATGCACAAATTTACGTAAATGAGTTTGTGTACTACCAGTATATGCTAGGTATATGTATACATGTATTTCAAAGGAAAATTAACATTAAATATGTTTACTCTTAGATAAACTAGAGGGGGACACTCACTGTCATCATGCCTCCCAAAAAGAAGAAGAGTGCTAAGAAGAAGAAGGGGAAGAAATCTGGGAAGAAATCAGCCACCTCTCGTGCCCAGACAGCAGTGGGGAATATAGACTCGCTGGGAAAAGAGTTCTTTCTTGTGCAAATTAGAGATTTGGAAAACAGACTTGTGAGGTAAGAATGGGTTCATAAGGGACAAAACATCATGATTAATGGTACTTTTTTTAATGTATTTTTTATGGCAGAACTGTTTCAGTTAAATTGGTGGAGGTGACTATATTTTAAGTAATCAAAACTCAAATGTTATTATTAGATCTGGGTGATTACTATAAGCTTATAGAATTATTTATTTCACAATTCTCCAACCACTGCATTCATTATCAGTGATTATAAACATTTACAAAAAGATGTTTCCATTTTATCCTGACTGTTTGTTCTTGTAAATCAGGTACCAGAGAAAATGCGATGAGCTTGGGGTTCAGAATAGCAAATACCAAGATGACTATAACCAGGAAAAGAGAGAAAAGAAGGATATCATTGAATTCCTGAAAAAGTCTCTTGAAACAAAGAGTAAGTTTGGCGTCATTTCCCTGATGATGATTAAGATAGCTTTAAGCTGGCCAAAATATAAAAAAAAAAGATTTATGAGTACTCTCTTTTGGTTTGTTTGAACTAGTCACTTTTAGCTGAACTCACTTGATATTTGTCTGTAAATTTTTTTAAAAACATTTTTCATACATTAAATTAATTATTTACCAGGTATACAGTATGCTGGCTTAATTTCATTTGTTATTAAACAACTTGACATGAGCCAGTAGAAGTTTCAGTCCATAGCGTACACTGTTATTTTTTCATTTTTAGCTGATGAGATAGCAGATTTGAATGATCGTCTGGTGGGTCTCCAACAGCTCAAAGATTCAGAGAAGGAGGAATATGAAAAGCAGCTGAACCAACTTAAAGCTGACTATCAGGAAACAAAAGACCAGCTGACCTCAGATAATTTAATTTTAGGTGTGTAATTCAGATATATTCCTTGAAAGTGAAGAACCCAACATGTCCCTGTAGACATAAACATCTAGTTCCATACCCACTTAGATTTTAATCAATAATATATTAAACTATATTTCATGAAATTTAACTTTGGTACACTGTTATTATTTAATTAGCAAAGTATAGAATTGTATTTCAATCTGTTAATAATCTGTTTACAGTGCAGAACTTGATGTTACAAACTGTGATGTCAAAAAAGGAGAACATAAATTCTTAAAACACACTCAGGCCTCAGAAATGATAATTGATGTTTGCTTACATGAGCCTTATATTTGGGAGCACAAATGCACATATAAGCGATACTTACGCTGTACATTTTTCTCTCGTTTTGTTCAATCTAAACCTTTCCCTGTACAGCCGAGTATTCTATATCTCCATTTGTATTCCATATCTCCATTTATATTCCAGCTGGCAAACTGTCCTCCCTGGAAGAGTTCAAGGTGCAGAAGGAGGACCTGATGCAGAAGTTTGCCAACTTGGAGGCTGAGCTGGAAAGGCAGCAGAAGGAGTTCAAGAACACCATTTATGATATGGAGAGGAAATCTGTAGTTGACAAAGACAGGTGAGGATCGTGTGGGGATAGCTTTAGAGCTGTTACCTGGTCCCTAGCCAGGGGGGAGGGGGAGAGGAGATGTCCCAGGGGTGAATTAAGAGGTATTCTCTGACAGTCTTCCAAATTACCTCTGTTGAGCCGTCCTCCATTTTTTGCCGTCTTCAAATTGAAAAAAATTAGATACCAGTCAATGTAAACTTAAAAATCTGACCATCTTCCGGAAGACCCAGAAGACGACCTCAATCCATCCCTGGTTTCAGAATTATATTAATTGTTACAGTACATATTCTCCTTCATTCCAAATAAAAAAGGAAAAAACAATTTCTACTTAGAACATAGTGCTGTGGCTATTGTACATTCCAGTCATTTCCTTATTCATCACATCTATGCCTGGAAAAGTTTTAGGTATAGATGTTATGAATCAAGGAAATGATATACCTGTAGTGCCTAGCTATTAACAAATTGACATTGGACAGTAATATCCACTTTTCTTGTAGGTAATACCTTTGTATGTATTATTGTAATGATTAAATGAAACCTTTTTTTTTTTTCAGACTAAAAAAAGACATGGTAATTAGAGTGAACAATGTAGCAGCAGAGTTCAGAAAGGTTTCTAACAAACAGATGGCAGAAACAACAAAAAGGACAATAAGAGAAAATGTTGCCATCAATGCTCAGTTGCAGAAAATGTCAGATAAGACAATGGAGCTAATTCAGGAAAATGATGACTTCAGAGGAAAGGAAAAGAAGCAGAGGCAGCAGATTGATATGTTGGAGACAAATGAAAAAGAACTTGCTAAGAAAAACCACAGTAACTTAAAGGTAAATGAAAAATTTTATACCGCACACTACCACAGTCTGCTAGGGCAAAGAAGTTTCTTCTTTGCAGATTTATAAATGACAAAAGGCAGTCAAGATTTAGTTTATTTCATAAAATATCTCTTCAATGCAATTTTTCTGTGTCCTTTTTAATTTATGTTTAGTTAATTTTGATTTTTTAATTTCAAAACGTAGTTGCTTTTTATCTTAATCTATTCAAATAATTATTTTTCATTTTATTTTTGTTTTTGTCTTTTATTTATTTATTTTATTATTATAATTTATTTATTTTTTTTTATTTATTTATTCATTTATTTTTTAACAAAGTAAGTCTGCTTTATGTGATCAGCTGTATACTCCGATTTCTTTGATGTTAAATAATTATCCCTATATCTTCTGCAGGTGATTTCCACGTTAACTGAAAATCAATTATTTACTATGGTTCCTGCGATATTTATATACTTATCCCTATACTTTCTGTAGGTGATTCGCATGTTAACAGAGAAATGTAAGAGTCAGGAGGCGATGATAGCAGAGTTTGAGCTCCGTGAGCAGGAATACCAGGAGATGGAGTCTGAAGTTGACCTCCTCAGACAACAGGTGGAATCCTCCAGGTAAGTAGTAAAGATGGAGTAAAACATATTTAAAGTAAACAGCAGGGGTTTTCTCAGGATTATAAGGTACAGGGAGTCCCAACATGTGAAGCTGCAATTTGGTCATCAAATTACAGGGAACCCAACCAACCCAAAAATTTTGTAAGCCATTCAGCCAACTTACTGGTACATGTTAAGTTAAAAAAACCCTTACCATGTGTTTTTTGTTGTTTTTTTTTGTTTTTTTTTTTTTTTTTTTTTTTTTTTTTTTTTGGGGGGGGGGTATTCTAACACATGTATGAATGTAATTTTCAATATAATATGTTCATCACCCTCCTTTATAAATGATAATGATTGCAAAATATTTATCACTAAAACAATTTTTTTCTACAGAGATGAGATCCAGAGTTTAGCCAAAGAAAATGAACAGTTGGATACAGATTTACAAAGCAACCAGCAGCAACTGAGAGAAACTTCAAAGAACAAGAAAAAACTTGAGAAGATACTGTCAGATGCTGCACTGGCTTTGAAACTTGTTTTGAGTGTAAGTTACTTAATTTATGGTTTATTAATTCCACACAAAAATGTCAATATAAAAGTTTTAATATGTGAAGTCATTGCTGAAATATCTTAATTTTTTATTCTAAGATACGCCTTTCATCAACACCATGCTTATGAAAAGTTGAATAAAGAAAAAGTGAAGATATTACACCCAGTATGATAATAAATGAAAATTATGAAACAGAATTTGAAATACTTTCATACCGTTAGCTTACAGCCAAACTGGACGTAGGCTTTCATCAGGCAGTATGAAAATATTTCGGCTTGTGTTTGATAATTTTCATTTATGATCCAACTAACAAGCTAATGAACATTTTTGCTCATTTACACCATATATGGTTTTAAACTTATATCTATTGCATCACAAAGCTGACAAAATTGTTATCGATGTTTTCAGAATACCGGAGAGGCATGGGGAGACGAGGACCACAGAGTAGACTTGAACGAGGTGGAGAAACGGGACAACATGTTAGAGCACCTTTTGGTGATCTTGAACAGTGCTGCCGCCCTGGGGGTGGGACCAGATCCATCTGCTATGGGAAAACAATTCAAGATGGAGAGATCCAGGAGTGCCAGTGAAATGCCTGGCAGTAAACTTGGTTTTAGGAGAGGGTAAGGAACTTTTAATCATTTATGACTCTTGTAAAGAAAGTCATTATTTACCTTATTTGTTAATCAAAGAAGTATGCTTAAGTTGATATTGTTTTTAATTTTGTAGTAATTTTGTACTATTCTTATATGTCTTCTGAATGATATTTTATGAAACTTGCCATTCAAACAGTAATCCAAATTACATTTTAAGTTATTTCAATGTTCATAATAAATTATGATATGCCTGCAAAGATTCCCACAACAAATTGTATTTGTCTGCTTTATTTATATTAGAGTGAATTTATTATATTTTTCATATCTAAATTAATAATCTAGTTAATTATAATATCATTACTCATTCCAGGGATGCCCCACTCTCACCGTTAGCCCCCAGTAAAAAAGGCACCCTGCCCCACTACCAGCTGGGAGACCTTGGGCTGGTCCCCAGACCCAAGCAGCCTATCCCGACCCATGTGGAGAAGATGAAGGACCTGTCTGAGACCACACGTCTTGGTGGGCTGAAGAAGGTGCTCACAAAGTCTGTGGGAGTGCAGACAGTCAGTGCTCCCAAGGTAATGCATCATATATGGGGTTATTCAGTCACTCAGTTAAGCTTTTTCAGAAAAAAAAAGACTGAAAAGTATTGTGTTGCATGTTATTTATTTATTTATTTATTATTTTGTCTTTAAATGGGCCTTTAAGGTATGGAATAAAGCTTTGCAATGTGTTATATTGGTTTCTAGCCATTGGTTTTATATCATTGCAGACTTTGTTTTTGATACTGAATTAAGCTTTGCAATGTGTTACGTTGGTTTCTAGTCATTGTTTTCGTATTGTTGCAGGCTATGTTTTTCGCGGACCAGCTTTTGAGCACTGCCTCTCCAGAAACTAAATCTGCAATGATGAGGGAACTGAGGACCAGCAAACATAAACTACCATCCATTGCTACACAGAAGAAAGTGGTTGAGAAGGTGTATTAATATGAAGCAAACTGTGTAACAGCCAAAGAGGATACAATATGGAAAAAGACCACTTTACATTTGAGCAAGCTCCCGCTTGTTCATGTTCAAGAATTTTCATAAGCGCATGCTGGGCATGGCAGTTTATAAATGCTGAAATTTAGCCAACAGTCCTTTGGTTAAAAAGAAAATACAGTCATTGTAGATTACAAAGGAAATATCTGTTATCTATTCATCAGAATAAAAGGATTCACAGATATGAAACACAAGGTCCTATTCAACTGGACTGTAAAAGACCTCCTGTGTGTAGAAGTACTAGAACAAATTGACATAGTAAGCATAAGCTTCGTGTATTAATGACAGATGAACTACAAGACTTTGTATTAATATCATGTGTATAGATGTACAGACTAGTAATCCATTTAATTATGTACTGGTAGTGAATGTCAGATCAGCCAAAATCAACAATAAGTTTCATTGTCTTTGGAAAAAATGTTCCTATTATATAGAAAGATGTTTGCATCATGTTGAATTAAAAGGGAAGTTATTGGTTAATTGAACAATTTAGCCGATGTGTAAATACTGTGAATTGTATAAAATTAAGATGCTGTTCATGGGACCCTAAAGTGAGAATGCTTTATTGATAAAATGCGATGTGTGCATGATTAATGCTCAAATATCTTTATCAAAATATTATAAATTGAGAAAAAAATGTGTTTGTTTATTATTTACTCCATGATAGCTATTTTTCATATTCAAAAATGTTGAGCAAGGCTTGGACATAATCCTTTTTATGTCCAAGAACAAAGTGATGCAAAAGAAAAATGCCCCGCCGCTTCTGCGGCCTCTCCCCTAAGCAAAACCTGCGCCGGGTAACGCGACCATTTTCACAGTTTTGCCGCGACGCTGCTGCCTTAATGTCTCCCTGGGTGCCCGAAGTGATTGTAGTCAAGATGTGTCTCTGTTATTTTCTGCAAGCGGTAATTAATAACGCAGTTTCTTGGGTTCGCTGTAGCAAGGATAATCTCTTTATGTCAGCCCAGCTCCTTCACAATTTCTCCCCCCTGCATAATTATAACATTACCCGCAGCGATATACCCCCGTACAGCCACTCCTCAAATATTTTTGAAAGACGATTTGATAAATCTCTCAATTTCGGTCCAGAGAATGCGCATTCTTTCTATGAAGAAACTGTGAATATTATTCTTTAAAAAACTGCGTGTCGCATTAAATTGAAACAACGAGGCGGGGAGGTAAAGCGTAAAAGGTAAACGGGGTGAAGGGATGTAACCAAAAAAAAAGGGGGGCGTCTCGATAGTCCGAAGGTTCATTGGTCCGAAGGTTCATTGGTCCGAAAAGTGGTAACATTTTCATCGATTTTTTAATCAAGGGTTCATTGGTCCGAAGGTTCTATAGTGAACATTCGGACCAATGAACCTTCGGACTATTGAACCTTCGGACTATCGCTACGGCCCAAAAAAAAAGTAGGCCCCCCTACAACTTGGACATAATAACGAATTATGTCCAAGAGAACAATAAGAAGTTTCATGTGTTAGCACTCCTTATTATTTTTTTGATATGCTTGACATGTGTGGTAATTTATCTGTACTTATTAGCTTATATATATGCGTTTAATATTTACAATAATGCAGTAAATAGCTACCCGGTATGTTAACGCGTGAAAGATTGTGCTAAATCATAATGAAAAGCCTTAAAAAGAAATAGAAGTAGTAGGCGCCTAATATCTCTCTCTCTCTCTCTCTCTCAAGCTTGCACGTTATCGCCGATGAAAGTTCTATATCTTTTTGTTGTTATTTTATTTATGAATAAAATTTGATTGGTGTAAAGCTGATTTGATTATCTTTTTTTTTTTCTTTTTTTTTTTTTCACTTTAACACAGTGCGTTACATCTGTCTGACCTTTTCTCCACTGCTCCGCTGTGTTTGCACTGCGCATCTGTCCCTCTACTATGGGATCCTACCACTTTTCCTATTCGCACCTTCTAATTTTACGTCTTAGGCCACACTTTTTTAATTTTATGGATGACATCCTGCGCGCGCATGGATTTTCACCCATTCTCCAAAAAAAAAAAGGCCCCCCCCCCACCAGCCCCCAACGAAGTCGGTTGTCGCAAACGTCGTTATTGAATTTGCAAGGAAATGAGCTTACTGCGCATGCGTATTTTCGCCACGTGGAAATGCGGCCACTTTGCTGTCAAATTCATCTCTAGGATTACTTTCAAATTGCACAACAATAAAAGTCATAAAGAGAACGGGCGCCATCGTTTTAGATTGGTATGCCATTGATATTGGCCATGGAGATATCACCTTTTTACAATTGTGCGAAAGGCTGGCGGTGGCCGAAACATTTCTGTGACATTCTGTACAAAGCAGCACATAAATACCAGGTTTTCTGTAGCGAAAAAAGGGTCGACAAGGGCGTCGTGGTATTNGATCATAACTCATTCCAGGGATGCCCCACTCTCACCGTTAGCCCCCAGTAAAAAAGGCACCCTGCCCCACTACCAGCTGGGAGACCTTGGGCTGGTCCCCAGACCAAAGCAGCCCATCCCGACCCATGTGGAGAAGATGAAGGACCTGTCTGAGACTACACGTCTTGGTGGACTGAAGAAGGTGCTCACAAAGTCTGTAGGAGTGCAGACAGTTAGTGCTCCCAAGGTAATGCATCATATATGGGGTTTATGATGTCTTAATTCCCGTTTACTCAGTCACCCTTCTCACTCATTTAAATTTTTTCAGAAAAAAAGACTAAAAAGTATTGTGAGATTTTTTTTATGGTGCATGATATTTATTTATTTATTTATTTATTATCTTGTCTTTTTATGGGCCTTTAAGATATGGAATAAAGCTTTGCAATTTGTTAAATTGGTTTCTAATCATTTATTTCGTATTGTTGCAGGCTATGTTTTTCGCAGACCAGCTTTTGAGCACTGCCTCTCCAGAAACTAAATCTGCAATGATGAGGGAACTGAGGACCAGCAAACATAAACTACCATCCATTGCTACACAGAAGAAAGTGGTTGAGAAGGTGTATTAATATGAAGCAAACTGTGTAACAGCCAAAGAGGATACAATATGGAAAAAGACCACTTTACATTTGAGCAAGCTCCCGCTTGTTCATGTTCAAGAATTTTCATAAGCGCATGCTGGGCATGGCAGTTTATAAATGCTGAAATTTAGCCAACAGTCCTTTTGTTAAAAAGAGAGTTCAGTCATTGCATATTACATATAAAATATGTGTGATCTGTTCATCAGAAAAAAAAGGATTCACAGATATGAATCATAAGGTCATATTCTACTGGACTGTAAAAGACCTGTGTGTGGAAGTACTAGAACAAATTGACAGAGTAAGCACAAGCTTCATGTATTAATGACAGATGAACTACAAGACTTTGTATTAATATCATGTGTATAGATGTACAGTCGAGTAATCCATTTAATTATGTACTGGTAGTGAATGTCAGATCAGCCAAAATCAACAATAAGTTTCATTGTCTTTGGAAAAAATGTTCCTATTATATAGAAAGATGTTTGCATCATGTTGAATTAAAAGGGAAGTTATTGGTTAATTGAACAATTTAGCCGATGTGTAAATACTGTGAATTGTATAAAATTAAGATGCTGTTCATGGGACCCTAAAGTGAGAATGCTTTATTGATAAAATGCGATGTGTGCATGATTTATGCTCAAATATCTTTATCAAAATATAATAAATTGAGAAAAAAATGTGTTTGTTTATTATTTACTCCATGGTCACTATTTTTTATATTCAAAAATGTTGAGCAAAGTGATGCAAAAGAAAAATGACCCGCCGCCTCTGCGGCCTCTCCCCTAAGGTAAACCCCCTGTTGCACTTACACCAACCAAAAAAAAAGAAGCGCAAGTTTTTATGTCTATGGTTTTAATACATATACTCAATCATACAATACTGTTTTAGAAATGCTGCTGTGCTGATATATAATAATTCTTACTTATCTCGCATATGAAAAGTGTCTTGGTCGAATAAGACAAAAAGGCAAAGAATCGCTGAAACAAGCTTGCGCCGGGTAACGCGACCATTTTCACAGTCTTGTGCCGTGCCGCTGCTGCCTTGATGTCTCCCTGGGTGCCCGAAGTGATTGTAGTCAAGATGTGTCTCTGTTATTTTCTGTTGTTCTTTGCAAGCGGTAATGCATTAATAACGCAGTTTCTTGGGTTCGCTATAACAAGGATAATCTCTTTTTGCCAGCCCCGCTCCCTACCATAATTTCTCCCCCCCCCCCCCAGCATATTACTCGCAGCTATATACCCCCGTACCGCCACTCCTCAAATATTTGTGGATAAAAAAGATTGATAAACTACTCATTTTCGGTCCAGAGAATGCGCATTCTTTCTTTGAATAAAACTGTAAACATTTATTCTTTAAAAAAAAGCGTGTCGTATTTTAAAATGAAACAACGAGTCGGATAAGTAAAACGGGTGAACGGGGTAAAGGGATGTACCCGAAAAAAGTACAAAAAGATCCATGTGTTAGCATCCCTTTTATTTTTTTGTGATATGCATGACACGTGTGATAATTTATCTATACTTATAGCTTTTATGCGTTAATATACAGTAATTTGGTAAATAGCAATGTTAACGCATAAAAGTTTGTGATAAATCATAACGAAAACCCTTAAAAAGCAATAGTTAGAAGTACTTATATAGTAGTAATATCTCATTATCTCAAGCTTGCGCGTTATCGCCGATGTGAGTTTTATATCTTTTTATTGTTATTTTTATTTATGAATAAATTTTGATTGGTGTTATCTTAAGTTGTTTTATCTTTTACGATGCAGGGGAAATAAAATAAAAACAAAAAAATACAAAAAAAAGTGGTATTTTAGTAAAAAGATGTTTTCTAAAGAAAAAAATGGATCGGGCAATATGGCTGCAATGAGACTGGTGGCATCATCTTTATATCAAACTTGGTCGATAAATTTATCAATCATAACATAACTAACGTTATTTTTGCTGGAGATGTCACAAGTGCCAGAGAACAAAGTGACGTGCTCAACGTGTGATCATGTGACTAGACAAAATGGCGACCGCCATGTTGAGTGGCCGCATCGCGCTAGTAACAGGTACATTTTATATTGCCACAGATTATTAAAATTGCAAGAAGGTATTTGATCGGTTAAAAACCTGAAGCGACACTAGAATTTCGATCTAATATGAATATAACTAGTATATGTACATGGCAATCGTTGCAAAATGTGCTATTGTCAGTGTTCAGTACCAATATTGAGTTCAGGCAAGGAGTTACAACAGAAGGTTCTGTCGTAACTCCTTGGTTCAAGCAGCGTTATAACTAACGATGATGTTCTTGTATTACTATGACCTATAAGTAGTGAAGTGCAAAAATGCTGCTATGAGGCTGGCATTTGGATAGTTGCCTTACAGTGGCGGATTTAGAGAGTGGCCAGAGGGTCCTGACCCCCCGGGCCCCCCCCCCTCCCTCCTTCGATTTCTGGTCCCCTCTTGAAATTTGAATTTTAACTACATGAATCATAGTTCTAAACCGTACCAAATGGCACCATTCGCCCTCTAAAATACCAAAATTTTCCGGTGCCTTTCAGCAGGCCTTCGAACCCCACACCAATTAATGTGTTAATTAGCACGAAAATTCATGCGTTATTAGCATAAATTTTCATGCTACAAATGTTTGTGTGTGTGAGGGGGGAGGGGGGCTGCATTGCATCAGCGCCCCCCCCCCCCCCTTTAAATAATCCTGGATCCACCCCTACCTAAGTTCCCAACCTAACACGCTAGGCTAGATATTGGCAAAAACTGAGGCAATTGCACTCCCAACCTACCCCCCCCCCCAAAAAAAAAAAAAATTGCCACCCCCCCCCCCCCTTCTTTCTCCAAATAGTTGCAATTTAAGAAAGTAAGCCCCTCAATATTTGTTGAGTTTATCATAGAAATACTATTCTAGTACAGTTGGTGTGTTAAAATTGAAATATGTACATCTGTGGCCCATGGGGGAATATTGAGGTAAATTTGTTTAATTTTGACATACTTTTTATTCACCTTGTGGGGCTGTATGTTTCAGGTGCAGGAAGTGGCATTGGACGCGCAGTATGCCAGGTGTTGGCAAGAGAGGGCGCTGCAGTAGCTGCCGTAGATATCAACCAAACGTCTGCTGAGAAGACAGTGGGTGATCTACAACCAAGTATTAATACTTCTAATTAGTTGACTATGATTAGCCTTCAGAAAATGAAGATACTGTATAAAGTTTTCGGAATTATAGATTGTAAATATTTGGCATTTCTAATGAAAACAGGATTATGTAATGATGTTTTAAAATATATATATATATATAATATTTTTTCTGTTGTGTGGTCAGTTGATATGCAGATAAAACATCCTAAACATGTTTTAGTATAAAGTTACTTTTATGTATTTAACTTCCTTCCATACAGTTACGTCATCACCAAACTGCCATCACCCGTTTGCTGCAGATGTCTCTGATTCAAAAGTGGTTGAGGACTTGGTTGGAATGGTGAAAAAAAGGTGAGAAATGAGCAATGGATTGTATTTCTTCTTGACAATTGAATAAATTATAAGTTATTTCTCTTTGTTGGTTTCAATCCAGTCCCATTTGAATTTTTTTTTTAACGTAGGCTGTTGTCTGACATAAAAGAAAAGAAATGAATTGTTGTCTTGTTTTTGGATTAAGTATGTCTTATATGTACATTTAACAAACAACATCTAGGTACGAGGGTGTTCCATCCATATTGGTTAATGCAGCAGGAATCACCAGGGATAATTTTTTACTAAAACTTGATGAGAAGAGTTTTGATGAAGTTATCAAAGTAAATCTGAAGGTAACAAAGATGATTGCATGTAAAAATACCGTGCATCCATGTTTATGAAGTCAATAATTCCTCTTGAATGTTTTATATATAAGATTAATATTTTGAACCTATAATTTGCACTACTAAATATGTTTATGTGTTTTTACTAAGAAATATCAGTAAAACTCATATTCATTAATGTAAGTAAAACCTGTTGAAGTGTCCATGATATTTTTGAAAAACAGCAGTCTAAGTTGAAGAAAATCTTCAAAAATCGGGGTTGTTAATGTTTGATCTACAGATATTTATACCAAAAAGAATGCAGCTGCTATTTATTATATTTTCTAGAGACTATTCATTTCTTTTTTATTATTATTATTACAACTGATGTGATTGTTTAGGGTACTTATCTGATGACCAAGGCCATAGCCCAGTTAATGGTGGAAAATTCCCAGCCTGGGTCCATAGTTAATATTGCTAGTATAGTGGGTAAAGTAAGTACTGTAAATAGTGACTTAGATTAATTTACGTGATTACCAGGGGCTTTTCTCTCAAAAATTAATAAGTATAGGACTTTTAAAAATTATTTGTGTCACTGTCAGAGAAAAATCTAAAAGAAATATCCATTTTGAATGGTTTGTTTTAACCTGATCAAGGTATTATTATTATTTTTTTACCTTCAATATAAGGTAATCGAAGCACGCAATTTGTGATATAGGGTCCATCCAACATAATTTACAGTCATTCAAATGACAAAGAGTTTACAGTAAAAATCTAACTAAAAGCTTTTTGAACGTTGTTTTTATCTCAGTACAGTGTTCTTTATTGAAATGAAAATTGTTAACACATTGCTAGTTAAAGTGCATCAAGATGGAAGTCTGGTATAATAAGTCAAAATATAATTACTGGCCATATTAAAGTATTAAATATGATTTATTCTTTAAGGTGGGCAATATTGGTCAAGCTAATTATGCTGCCTCAAAGTCTGGTGTAGAAGGGCTTACCAAAACAGTAGCTAAGGAAATGGGGAGGTAAAGGAGGTATTTACTGTAACTATGTGTCTGATTTCAAGAGAGCATTTGCTGTAGGCCTATATTATGTCTTTTTTCAAGTCTATTGATTTTTTTCAGGATAAGACATAAATAACATCTTTTCTTGGATTCTGTTCTATTCTATGTCTTATCCTAATTCTGTGATTCACTCTATTGTATTCTTAGGTATGGTATTCGCTGTAACTCCGTGCTGCCTGGTTTCATAGACACTCCAATGACAGAAGCTGTGCCAGAGAAAGTGATAGATAACATGAGGAAGATGATACCAGCAGGCAGGACAGGAAAACCAGAAGGTTGACAAGGATCAGAACTCCCTGCCCTAGCCATGGCTCTCTCTCTCTCTCCCCCTCTCTCTCTCTCTCCCTCCCTGTCACTCTCTCTGTCTCTCTCTCTCTTTCTCTCCCTGTCTCTCTCTCTCTTTCTCTCCCTGTCACTCTCTCTCTCTTTCTCTCCCTGTCACTCTCTCTGTCTCTCTCTCTCTCTCCCTCCCTGTCACTCTCTCTCTGTCTCTCTCCCTCTCCTGATACCAGCAGGCAGGACAGGAAAACCAGAAGGTTGACATGGACCAAAACTTCCTTCTACCATCTACACAATACATCTCTCTCTCTCTCTCTCTTCTGCTGGCAGGCTTTCCTGTGTCAAAATATCTGTGGCATTTAGCAATATGATAAACACACTTTGCACAGAATAAATAATGGACCTTAAGCTGGTTATATATTCATGAAGGTAAGCATAACCCTAAGATTTGTCCTCTTGCAATGTTATTTAGGAGATTACAATTATAACAATTAAAAATGGTTTCTTACAGAGGTGGCAGAGGCTTGTTTGTTCTTGGCTTCGGATAGAAGCAGCTACATAACTGGAATAAGTCTGGAAGTAGCAGGTTTGTTTATAGCAAATACAAGATCTTTTAAAATAATTAAGATAATCTGAAAATTGCCCAGTCTAAAATTTAACACAGACCATTTTTGTTTAAGAAAATGTTCACCTTTCAGGTTAATGTTCAATGTGCTCTTTATTTCAGGTGGACTTTTTATGTAAGAGTTACAAGACATTTAGCTCCAGTCTCATATTTACTTTGCCAGGGAATCACTGTTCAGGGAAATTTTTGTACTTGTAGCATTAAGTGCATTTAGTCTTGTTATGACAGCTTAACTGGAATTTTGTAGAATTCAGGTGTATTTACAGTTTTGTCATGAGTTTATCTGAGATTTCATAGTATTCAGGTGCATTTGCAGCCCAGTAATGAAATCTCAATTGACACTTATGGTCAAATTTCTCTTCAGTTGCAGTCCGTGCCAACGTAGGTAGATATATCTTTTGGGTGGGGTGGGGGGAGTGTGTGTGTGTAGGGAGGGAGTTGACTGGCAATATTTTTATGGGAGGGGGCACAGTTGAGGGACAATTTTTGAAGGAGCGATGTGTGCAGGTGACATACAGTATTTGGGTTCAGTTAAGTAGCAATGTTGCACCAAATGCATTATTTCAGTGGTTTCAGGTGATTTAAGGTTGTTTTAATAACAGTAGATATCATGTTCATACATGCATAATATGATTTCATAAAATGTATATATATATATATATAGTCAGATGAATTTTGAAAATATTTGATTTGTCTTGAGAACAGGGAATTGATAAAACAGACGATTCTTATTTTTTTCATCATCATGTTGAAAATGCTATACACATTGTACCTCATATTTCATAAGAACTTGAAAAACAACTTGTAAAAATTATAAGAATTTTTTTCAAATCACAATCCATGTAAGATACTGAATTTTTGAAAGTATTTTCTGAATGTTTACATAGTTTAATGTACTGTATTGTCTTCTACTTGCACTGCGGCCATGGATCCCACATACAATAAATTTTAAGAATAAACATATTGTCATCAACTCTGTCCTCCTGTTCTCCTGATAATTACAGATCCCATTTACTCACACATCTTTGCTTAAGCTGCCAAAATGTATAGAATGTCAGAGATTTCTATTTGACAGAGACCAACTGAATATGAGTTAGTTTCATTTCTTTTTCTTTTTCAGTCTTTTCATATGCTTGTGAGGTCCTCTAGCCTTTCTGGTGGCTTCTTGTATTTCTGCATACTTCCTTTTGTTAAATCTGAAAAAAAAGAAAAATCTCAACTTCTCTTTTCTCTAAGCTACATATTCTATCTCTAAAAGTTAACAAAACTGTACATTAAGATAAAAATTACCTATTAAAATTTATAAGTTTGGCAAAACAGTAGCCTACAGTTAAGCTCCACCTATAATGGAAGCATGTTTGAACATTATGGAAATTTCTGTTTTAATTACATTCATAAAACAAGTTGCAAAATGCACACCAAAAATTTTAATCCAATCTAATAAAGACTTACAAAAAAGACCTACAAATAACTTCAACAGGTTCTTAGCAACACCTTTTTATTATTCAGACTGTAAGACATAAACCTGGGTAAAAAAAAAATCTAAACACGTTGTTGGACAAAACACATGCAATCATTGGAAATATGCTGGCAGAAAATTTCGAATCAATATTCAGTACATACTGTCTAAATTCTGCATCATCTAACAGCTCATCCACAAATGTCTTCTTCCTTGACTTCTTGGGTACTCTGTCATGGTAAAAATCCACAGGTGATTCCATAACTGTACCCATCTGTAAAAAAAAATTAACATTTTACATAATACTCCACACCACATGATAATGCACATTCTGTTCTTCATCACCATATTTCACCAAAGTTTAATATTTAGGAAAATTTCTGTACAAGTGGTCTTTTTTAATAACCTCAATCAAGGCAACTTGTTTTTGTACCTGGAAGAACTTTGGCAATGCATGGATGTCATTCCCCTTGTAAAATCTTTTTGGGTCGAGAGCTCTTCTCATGTGCAGCACCATCAGGTCATTCTTGCGCTCTTCTGTCATCTCCGTAGCTGGCATGTCAAACCATTTCTTGCCCTTTGTCTTATCTCGCTCAGCCTGAAATAATATGTGAATGTATAAAAATGAAACCTCTCTGGTTAGTCAAATTTGAAAATTCTAAAAAAGGTCATCAGTCTTGCATCAATTTATAGCTTTCTTTAAAAGATGGACATTTTTTCTAAAAATATTATTTCATGTCCCTAGTCCTAAACCAATTTTAATCAAACAGGAAAAAAATGACTTGCGGCGCATGTCAGGTTGCCAAAAGATTGAATAAATCGCAACCACAAAGGATGTAGAAAGTCGATATTGACAGTTTTGATAAGTTGTGATACATACTCGTCTCTGTTTTTTCAACTGGTTCAGGCTCTCTGCAAATGAGGGAACATTGTGTTTCTTCTCAAAATCAGAGGTTATGATGCTTTTCTTCATTATCTGCAAAAATCATATAATATTATTCAGTCCTTTTTTTGTCATGCAGTTCTTTGTTTTAGGAAACTGAGTAGCATTATTGTTGATTGTTTCAAATGTGGAATACTTATAAACAGTTGACATAAGCAATAATATATCTGCCACAAAACTTTGTCTAATTTGGTGAAAAGGATCACAATGACCTATTTATGCATATTTTAAGCTTAATATTGCATTAAAAAAGCATAACACAAATCAGGATGTCCTACCTCATCCTGGTTCCCCAACTTCAGCAGCATCTTGTCCACTTTAGGATTGTGTAGTTTTGGGGCATGGTACGTGTTCACATTTAAGTAGCCGTCCTCTAGACTCACACTACACTGCAAGGAGGATGAAAGCTCCAACCTAGAGGGCAAATGAAAGCATTTAAATGGCATTTAAAATGCTCTAAATGAGTGAAATGATAATTTATAATTCTTAAAAAAATTATTATTATTATTATTTATTATTATGTGTTCTGGTACCATACAAAACTTATTTTCACTATTTGTAGAAAGGGGAAGATGATGTTATTGTTCCTCAAAAGAAGCATCACTAAAACATTTATCATGTCTGCGTTTTCTACTTCTCAACAATAAATAATGAAAATAATAATAAATATTTAAAATATACTTAAATTAGGAAACATTGAATCACCAATACCCACATTGACAATGACAATAACACATTTCATATTCAAAATGAAGGAAATCTTCTTCATTGTTAAAGCATAACATCAGTACCAAAAGATGCTAGGAGTACATAAAGGTATACTAAAACAAAGTAACTCTCAATGCTTATTAAACTCATCCTTGAAAGTACATGACATTCACAACGCATTTTTGACATACTCGTCTTTCCTAGATTTTTCAACTGAATTCTTTCTTGGTTTTTTCGATTTCTTGGCTGTTCTTTTCACAGGTAACGTCTTTCTGCCACCTCCGGCGTTTCCATCCTCCGCCTCCGAAGACCCGTCTTCTTCATTCGACTCTCCAGATGAATCCTCCTCATCGTTAATTCCTTTTGATTTACCCTCAGGACTAGTCAACAGTGACATATCGGTCGATGTGCCAGGGTTGGTATCAATTATAAAACCTAACCCTGCGTCTGTCTGTTCTCCGTCTTTCGCGTGTTTTGTTGAGGAAACACGTGTTGCTGTTGCCTTGATTGTGTCATATGCACGTTGAACTAAATCTTCTAATTCAGAATCTGTGTCTTGATCACTACTGTCTCCATCACTTGAACTGTCTGATAAGACCACCAACTGCTCCTTCTTTGCTTCTTTTTCTTGATGTTTATCACTTTTTTCCTGCGCACACTTCTGTCTTCGTGTTATCGCCATTTTAAAAAGGACGACAAATAGCTTTCGATGTTGTTTTGTTATGATTACTTGGCACAAGATGAGATCATTACCAGATTTTATTTATTTATTTATTTTGCGTGCAACTAACCAACTGCCTCTTTAATTGTATATTTAGAGAGGAAAGAAGTTTCAATGTTAAAAATATAATTACTTTATAGTAAATTATCTTTGTGCATTGCTTGTTTTTTTCCTCTTATGGTATTTCAAAATTTTAATTGTCAAATCAGCATTTTCTCCAGGATTTGATTTGAACAAAAACAAATGCCCACCATTCCAAAAGTTTATTTAATTATTCTTTAACATCAGTAAATGACATGTCAACTAATATGTCTGTAAATAATATTTAATACAATATGCTGAATCCATTTTTGTTTTTATATGTGTCAGTCATCAAAAATCCCTGCATTTAAAAAATCAAACTAACTGATAAAGGGTTTGAGATATTATTGGCTTAGATATTTTATCACAAAACAATATGTGTATTATCGAAACATTTGTTGATCGATAGATTAGATCAGTGTTCACACACGACATATTGAACATGAGATTAATACCATACAGTATAGTTGCTGGCATTGCTGATAACATGCATATTTAAGAACCTGCTTATTGCTTTGTCACTTGCTGCTGCATATCAATTTTCTGTCACAAAAATGCAAGGATAATGTGCACATCCACTGACAGAGGACTATACACTATAGTATAGCAAAGCTTTAGGAGAAGGAAAACCCCTTTGGAATGTTACTACTTACAACATTAACAAAAAACTTCTTTTTATCAATCAATGATATTTTTTCTTAACTGGCAAAACATATCATCACTCATATCATAACACGTGGATTTCTTTTTTTCCCTTTAAAAAATAAAAGGAAATGTAGAAATTGCAAAATGATCACTGGAACACATAATATCATTTAAGCAACATTTTAAATAATTCAATAGAAATAAAGAAATAGCCTCCACTAAATCCTCCAATACTGCAAAGTTATTTTGAAAATTCCTAAAACCTCCCAGAATTATTGTCCAAGATAAACCATAAATTAACAAAATTAACCATATTAATCCTTTACCCCTACGAAATATTTCATTCTATTTCCATTTAGTTTTTCTTAAGCTAGTGTAAATATGATAAAAATGACAGCTGTCACTTTCATCTCATGCAAGTAAACATATGAAAAAATAGGTTGCACACAAAAGCATCAACAGTAGTATAAATTTACATAATGTCATCTGAAAAAGATGCAATTTTTTACCAAAAAAAAATTATAACAATTATTCTTCTATGAATTTTCATCTCAAAAGTGAACTTTTGTAATTAGACTACAAATACACCTAAATAAATCTACACCTTTTAGGGTTCGTTCACATGAAAAATCTATTTTCTAAAAATCTATTGGCGGTAGTTACTTCCAAAGCTGTAATTAATTCTCGGCTGCACTCGGAGGAGATTCTCATACCTTGACGCTTTGGAAGTAACTGGCTCACGCTGCCAGTAATTACGCCGTGGGGTATTCAGGGCACAGACCGTGATCACAAGATACCGCCAATAGATTTTTAGATTTTTAGAAAATAGATTTTTCATGTGAACGAGCGCTAAGTCAGCTGATTTGGATGCTATAAAATATATTGGATTTCATTTTATTTGTTCAAATGTCAATATTCTGTAAAAAGCTGAAAGTCTTCAAACTTCCACCAAATATAAAAACATTCCTTTACTGTTTTATAATGCCTATCCAAACCACACATCATCAACATCACACTAGATCATTCTAACATATTTAAATTAATTTTATAAAAAATAAATAAATTGATAAATCAATTCAAAATGCACATATCTGGACACCAAATAACATATTTTTCACAAATTTTGAGTCTGAAATTATCCTGGTCTGAGGTTATTCATATATTATGCAACAGTTTTTGATTAACAGAAAAAATATGTAATCTCAGTGGTCCCATACCTCTTCATAAGAGTTTAATCAGTGTTAGGGCCACTGACAGAATCTTCATCTCAACAAATATTCCAACACCCCAACTTCAAATATATGTATTTAAGGACAGTAAGTAATTAAGGGTGACTTAAATGAGAAGTTAGGAGATTAGGTCATCCTTTCTTGACTGAGCCTGTTGATACATCAGACTGCATGAGAAATTTCAGGTTGCATAAAAGTTTTTACAGCAATAACAGTAGACACCCGAGTTGAGAAAACTGACCCACCCCCCACTTTAAAATCCTGGACCCGCCCCCCGGTATTATTCCCATGGTCCCCAAACCCCTCCATTGTGACTGGGGTCTGCCCTGGGGTCAGGAGGGGGGTATATTGCTGGGACTGCAGTGGCGTTGTATGCCTGCAGACGAGTCAACATTTTCTTCACAATATTAGGGTACTTCTGTGACAGGTCATTTCTCTCAGTAGGGTCCTGTAAGATGAAAATATATTGGGTTTTTAACATTTCTGCTGTAATAATTCTATTTAAATAGATGTCTCATGTCCTTTTCTCAACAATTTAATACTATTACACTGAGTGCGTAATTTTTCATAGACATACATATACTGGTAGCTATTACAGGCCCGTAGCCAGGGGGGTTCGGGGGGGGGGGGGGTTCGAAAGAACCGCCCCTATTGTCAGGAAAAGGTCCTTTTTGGGTAAAATTTTATCTAGCTACACATAAGTTTCATTGTAAAAGTTCCACTTTTTCAGAAAAAGAATCCCCCTTCTGAATTTGCTGGCTACAGGCCTGTATTATATGTTATAATGTCGATATATGTTCTTTTAATCCTGAAGTAAATTAAGTTGAACTGAAAAACTGTTACCCGGTGGAGTGGAGGAGGGGAAACAGGTCTGTTCTCACATCTAATATATCGAAGAGCCACACATTTTTGTTGGTGTCTTCAAATGTATTCTCAACATGATGTTCACCACTGTCAATCACTTGTGCAGGTTTAATCCAGCTTCCATTTCCTAACATAGAAATGTTTACAAACACCATGGAACTTTGGATTTCACCCCTTCCTCCGTGGTGCCAAATAAAGGCATTTAAAATAACAGTAATGATAATCTATTGCTTAAAACTGGGCTACATGAATGTTTCAGCACTGTTTACAAAAACACTACATATAACACCCTAAACTAAAAGCCATACTGCTTTATGCAGAAGTACACGCGACAACCAACTATCTAAAATATATGATGCTACTACATGCATGTCAGGAGTTGGCAAATCTGTACTTATATATTAAATAAACCGATTTTCAACTAAATATGTTGCATTTTATGGATTATAAATGCCCTAGTGTTGACTAACCTGGGTTCCCAGTGATAATTTTCCACTTCCCCATTCTGAATGCTGCCCTGGTGGAGGTGTCGAAGGTACCGCTGTACGCTGGGGTGCCAGACTTAGTAAACAGAGGGTCGATGTTATGTAGTAGCTCTGTTCTTGGACTTGGCGCATTTTTACTGAAGAATCATTGAAAATAAATGTTCTCAGTGACAATATGTTAATTCATTCTGTGTAATCTAATTATTTTCAAAATTAATAATTAATATATACAAGCCGATACTGCATCAAATTAAATTCTCTCAGATAATAGTTTGTAGTTTTAGCTTCAATAAAACCATTTCTTCTCTTACACAAACTCTCCTTTCTCTTTCACTGTATCTGCTATATAAAAATTTATGAAAGATCTCATAACTCCCAAAGAGATTATCAACCTTAGTTTCAAAGTCTACAAGCCTGTCTCTATTTTTGTAGCATACTCATATACCATCAGTATTTAATTTCAAAGTCAGAATGACACATCTGGGAATCCACAAAATTTGATAATTACATGAGCCTTGCATTCTAAAGGCATTCTTACCTAATAGTGTCCCATACATTATAACCATCAAGACCAGTAATATTGCTTGGAGACCCTCCAGCCAATGACAACAAAGTGGGGAACCAGTCAGAAATGTGGATTAGTTCCCTATTGATCTTGCCTTTAGTTTCCAGGCTGTTGCTGTGGACAAAGCCCACCCCTCTGAAGCCGCCCTCCCACAGACTGCCTTTCCACCCGCGCAACGGCCAGTTGTTACCACCTGACAGAATCTGACCTCCATTGTCTGAAAAATACAATTAACTTTTAGTATAAAGTAATTTAATTCTATCATAAACACAAAAATTTAATTCTGTGTATGGGCGGCCAAAAGGGCAAAAATTCATGTCGTCGATTCAGTTATGTTTCATCGATTTAGTTTCAAGTTTAAACGATCCCTTCATAAATTCAACATCTACTTTCGTCAATTCAATTGTCAAACATTTCTCATCTACGTTGTATTAAAACCAATGCTTTCACGATTTTCGTCGATCGTGTAATCTCGTCGATCGTCCAACTAATCTCGTCAATCGTGTAACTATTCTCATCGATCGTCTAACTATTCTCGTCGATCGTCTCATCGATCGATCGCCAGAGGACGCTGCGGTAGCAACACGTGCTTCTGTCTGTCAATCATGCGGTAATTTTTAACTCGGCCAGCCATGGTCAGAGTTGAAAACAACTACAAAATAATGTCCTTACAACCGAATAGATTTTAATTATTAACAATTAAAATTGAAATTGATGAGAAAATTTTCTTATTGCACTAGCAATCATTTTGTTGTCTGCCATTTTGATAGTCATGTGATGCCAATGTGCTGCAGCAGCGCCCTCTGGCAATCGATCGATGAATGATGAAGTGACGTTAAAGGATCGACGAGAACAGTTAGACGATCGACAAGAATAGTTTGACGATCGACGAGAATAGTTACACGATCGACGAAAATAGTTTGACGATCGACGAGAATAGTTACACGATCGACGAAAATAGTGACAGCATTGGTTTTAATATACCGTTGACGAGAAATGTTTGACAATTGAATTGATGAAAATAGATGCTGAATTTATGACAGGGTCGTTTAAACTTGAAACTGAATCGATGGGAAGGTATTCAATATTCAAATCAACGACATTAATTTTTGCCCTTTTGGCCGCCCATATCTGTGCCAATATATCAAATGAATAGGTCTTTACTATATTTATATATTGAATCATATATTGGTAAGGGTAAAAGAAAAAAATAGCAAAACAAATTTTCTTTTCTTCTCAATTTTGGACTGACTGACCATTGAACATTTTACAAAGGTTCTGAATGAGAGCTACCTTATAGGAGATATACATCGGCAAGCCCATCAAAATAATTGTTGGTGTTTCTCTAAAAGTAAGTCATGTTTATAGATAACTTCCAAAACTATTAATTCCTAATGGTATGACCCAAAACTGAATGAAAGGTTAAAGATGGATCTGTAGCATTAGTCTGAAGGTTCATTGGTCCGAATGTTCACTGTAGAGCCTTCGGACCAACAAACTCTAGATTAATAAAACTGATGAAAATGCTACAATTTTTCAGACCAATGAACCTTCGGACTATCAAAATGCCCCCGTTACAGATACCTGTTGAGAACACCATGATGGTATCTTCCCAGAGTCTATGTTGCTTCAATGCTTTGGTGACATTGGCTACACCTTCATCCATAGCACTCACCATACCTGTGCAGGAGAGAGGATAAACAAGACCACTAAAGTTATATATATATATATATATATAGAGAGAGAGAGAGAGAGAGAGAGAGAGAGAGAAAGAGAGAGAGAGAAAGAGAGAGAGAGAGGATAAACAAGACCACTAAAATTATATATATAAAATTATAAATTTTAAAGAGACAGCTGACAGAAATTTCATATGAAAAAAACAATTCCTTTTTCCAAAAATTTATATATATATATATATCACAATGAAAAAGATCTGTTACTACAGCTATATAGGTGCCACCAGACAGTAAATAATTGATATGTCAGAAACATGCAAACAGATGCCATCATTTATTAGCTAGAGGAGCAATTTTTTTTCATCTTGAGTATAGACCTTTAAAAATTACAATTGAAAATATACTAGATATGCAATCAAATAAACAATCTCATGGTCTCTTTTCATGCATGATAGTGTATCTTATACCTAAAGTAATGCACTATAAAAAATATCCCATTTACTGAGAATAATATGTGGCAAACATAACATAAAGGCTTGCTGTTTCAAAAATTTTATAACAAACTGAGTTTTCTTTGCATGTACATTTTAGGTGTCTTATTATTGTACAAGATCTGTTCAAGCTCTATATTGTGTGTCAAGTTGTTGATTACATGCAAAATATCTTCCTAACTCAAATATTTGTGACATCATTTGTCACGTACCAGTGGCTGTATAATGTTTATGGCTTTTCTCATGTTTATGTGCATTTTATATTCTTAAATATCGTTTCCTTTATTCTCAGGTTTCACTGCTTAAAACCATGATTCATCTACTTATCAGAAGAAAAATATATTGCCTGCATTGAAGCAAAATTATTTCATTGATAAATAATAATGGTTGCATCAAACACGTATAAGTTTTCAAACCTGCGTAAGTCCTTCTTGCTTTGTTCTTAATGCGTTGATAAGGTTTGACGTATTCCTCAGGCACCTCGAGGGGGGAATGAACAGCCTGATAAGGCAGATACAGGAAAAGAGGCTGAAATAAATAAATAAATAAACAAACAAACAAAAAGAAACAGACAAACAAATAAATATTAAAAAATATACCTATTATAATAATATAAATATACCTATTATAAGAGACGGGCAGATAAAGGTATGGCTCTGTTAATAATTTATTAAACCTCCATGTTTATTACATTTTCTGTGACACAATACTATTGCAATCATGATATAGTATACATAACAGACTGAACACATGAGCAACATACGCCCAGGTTGGCCATAAGCTAACGGTACAAAAATATTTCAGCTTGTGTTTGATCATTTTCATTTAAGACTGAACACATATCACCTCACTATGTGTTATAATATTTTTCATTTACCTTGTTTTTATCATGATTAGCAATGATATCCTCAGCTCTTTTGGTGAAGAGGTGTGTAGAATAAACACCATTTTGATTTTTATCAACATCCAAGTTGTCTCTAAGGTCTATCCCACATGTTTCATAACATCTTTTGTGAGTGAAATAGTATTCAGCACCAGTAAGATAGCCTATAGGAAAAAACCATCAGGTAAAAAACCATTAACAACATTTTAAAGAGACAGCTGAAAAGATTGCCATATGAAAAATACAATTCCCATTTCAAAAAAATTTAAAGACATATAATGCAAATGTTCTGGCTGGTGTAAATCATAATGATGAGATTTTGCTCAAAATACAGCTTCAAATGAGTGAAAGATTCTTCAAAAATTCTTTGACTTTTTTTAAGCAAGCATGGTGAAAAGCAGAAAGCCAGCCAAGCTCTGATACTTGTCATATTTGTTGATGCAAACTAGTATTGAAATTACAAGTTTTTAACTCTTCTTGATCATTATAGGGCTGCTACATGTACAGCTTGATGTAAGGTCAAATGACAGGCATACTTTGTCACCTGCTATCAAGTATACACAAAGAGATTAAAATATCACAGCTTAAACTATTGTCACGTATTTACCATAGTGTGTATCAAACCCCCTATTAGTGGGCATGTATTCTTTCTTGTAAAATCCCAGGTGCCATTTGCCCACAATGTGTGTGGCAATAGTTGGGAACTGAAGGGGTAAGCCATTGGCCTGGTTATACCAGATGATGCTGTGCTGTAAGCCTGTATGAATCTAATAGACAAACAAAAGGTGAACAACATTAATGCCCAATATGAGTGTCATTATTTCAAGACACTAATTTTTCCTGTACTTACATTATAGGTTATATTTCTCCAAGGTAAAAAGTTTTTGGTGAGATTTTCTATTATGGGATCAAACATTTTTATCATCATTTGACAATTGTCCCTACAAAGTAGACTTTTTCCAGAACCCCTCTTTCAGAGAGTGCAAGGCGATTGGCTAAAAATGACAACCTTTGCCAGCAGCGCCTGGTGGTGAAAATTATAATTTCTATTATTTTTTAAGGCGTACAGAGGGCATTGACACCTCCCTTTCCCTTCCCAAGAATATGGTTTACGGATGATAAAATGAATGGCCCCTGAGTGACTATACACTGGATACATGCACAGTGTAAATATTATTACTGGCTGTCAATACACAGGGCAATGCTGCTTGGGAACCACTGACAGGTTAAAACAATTTTTTAAAGAAATTACCTAGTGAATACATGGAAATACCTGATATCGGCCCGTCAACAACTGACTACGTGAGGGAGTACAGATCGGCTGCACGTAGTAATTTTCAAGTCTCACTCCTTCTGCCGAGAGTCGGTCTAAGGTTGGGGTCTTGATGTCAGAGCCGTGATAACCAACGTCGTTCCAACCATAATCGTCTGCTAATACAAATAAAATATGCGGTTTCTTCGCCGCAATTGATTCTCTAGAAATTAACAAAATTACGAAAGCTGTCAAAAGGAATGTTGTCACTAATTCGCGTGCCATTTTCACACTTTGTTGCTTCACATTCGAGCCATTGCATGCGCCTGTTACGCCTTGTTGTGGTCACGTGAATTAATATCGGCGACAAACATGTTTTCATTTTTGCAAGAAAAGCTCAAGATACGAATGTCCCCTTAAAATTCTTAAAATGTAATCGTTAACAATTTATTTTTTCAAAACGACCGAAACGACGAGTTATGAAGTGCATTTTGTAACAACTTCATTTAAAAGAGTTATCAAATAAGTAACACATGGTCCTGATCTGTCTTTACCAATTTTATTTTATGCTGGTTACACTTTTCGTTGTTCTTTTCATCCTTTTTCGCATCAGAAATCATTTTCACTCTTTTGGCCATAGCTTAAAAGGCTCAATATTTTATTTTAGGATTGTTATTTTTATCAGTTAATCAAAGAGGTATGACCAATGTAGATCACACATATATTCAATTGGTTTTATTATTATTATTATTATTATTATTATTATTATTATTATTATTATTATTATTATTATTATTATTATTATTGATTTTTATGTATTAAATAAATATTTAAACAGTTTGTCCATACTGAGCAGTTGAATAAGATATTATAAATGATTCTTCAAAATGTAAAATTAATAAATAAATAAATAAATAGATAAATAATCTCCTGATAGACACCTAAATAAAGACGAATAAATAGACAAACAATAAATAATCTTGAACATGGCATTAAACATTGAAATTTAATCTACAAAACACTGTTACGTTTATTATTAGTCCCGATGTACGGACGGAAATCTTTGTTTCTTATGAGTTGTTAACATCTACTAGTACATGTTATGTTTATTATAAACCATCTATATTGAATTCATTAAAATGTTTCAAAAGTCGGACTCTTGCGTTCAGCGAAACGCGAGGAATGATAGGCCTAACCAACACATAAAATACGTCTATTTGATATATAAATGTTTTATTTCCATTTAAAATGTTTAACAATAGTGACTAAGTGAACAATGTCAACATTCGCTGTCACAAAAGTGCAGATTGTAATCGGGACTCGTCAAGAAGAAAATCTCTTCGTAGATAATATAGGCGTTGATCATTTACAGTTGTTCAGTAAATGGTTCTGCACTAACCTAAACCTGTACGCTTGAGCTATCTGCTTGACAAAGTATCAGGAAAGATAAAACTTAAAATTATACCTCAAATAAAGGATGCCTGCACCGAAAACTAAAAGAAAAAGGCAAAGTTGTGAGAGATCACACTCTTAAGTCAGAAACTGTTTCAATCAAACCAAGTAGCAGCTACGCTTACCACAGACTTCTAAAACATTGCGTAGATACAATCTTGTCGGAAAATACCACGAAAATTGAGCAAATTCCAGCAATAACAGTCATTATTATGCACAGGAAAAATTGAAAGACGTACAGCAAGTGCCATGTCGATAAGCACTTGTATAAAGTTGATTGTCATGTTTGCTTGAGGTACGCAGAGTAAAAGTCAGCTCCATATATCAAATATAATTTTGATATAGAAATTACATATCCACGATGAGCAACTAATGTTCCTTTTCGATTGTCATGTCATGGTCTTTGCACCATCTCAAGATTAAGGCATGGATATGTTCAGTCTGCGAGAAAATATCATTGCCTTTTCATATGCAGGCAAAAAGTTTTGATAACAATACGAATTAATATCCCATTTTCATTTTTCTTATTAGCCCTTCCCATTTTAATGGTATGATCACATTCAGTTTGTGGGAAAGAGTCCAAGTCTTTTTTTAAAACGACAAAACGACAATCATTTATGTTTCATTGCTATTTCAGAGCTATTTCGAAACTGTTCAACGTCCCAAACTTATTTGCCAACGTGTACTCCCACCCCCCTTCCCCAACACTTCCAATTACATATAGTCCCCCCATCCCCATTCCGGCTCGTTCATTGCTGGAGCTATTTGATAATAGTTCAACAGCCCCAAACTTATTCCCGAACACCTAATGCCCCTCCCCTAAATTACCCCCGACCCCCCCCCCCCCGACCCCCAAGAATTCATTCTTCAAGCGATAGCAGTGACCATCTGTTTAGGCGTTGAACTTAGCGCATTCTGCGTACTGAACCCGAAGGTACGACCGTAGCGGAATTTCTCTCCTGAAAAGAGGAAATAATGAAATTTATTACAGATTGTTTCCAAGCGTTTCTCTGTTAATAGTTGTTCGTTCAAACTGCATGCTGTCTTTAAAACCATTTTTCTCGTGAAATGAACAGAAACAGAATATGGTACGAAATTTAATGTCAAATGTTAGGTTTTCGCGTGAAATACACGTCTGATACTTTTGTACGTCTTATACTTTTGTCTTCACCTTCACACCAAATACTTTTTTTTTTTTTTGAAAACGGGGACTTTTAGAGTTATATACCTTTTCATTTATCATGTATTACATTTTGTACCAGAATTGATAAACAATAATGGTCTAAAGTTAAATAAACTACAAAAAGGGCGCATTCAGTCCCAACAGATTCTCGGACTAGTTAGTCCCCTTTTCTGAATGAGCCGTCATTTACACTAGCACTCACCGGGTATGTGTCCCGTGTAGTGAGGCACCAGGCCAGTCTCAGTGGGATATATAGGCTGTGTGTCTAGTCTGTACGTTTCTACCCTCTCTACCGTGACTGGTTTGTGCAGGTTGAGTTTGTACAGCTGTGTGCCGTCCGTGAACTCGTTCAGAGCTTGGTGGGTGATGAACGGATAGCCTTTACCCAGGAGACCCCGAGACCGAGGGACGAAGCCAGTGTAACCTGAAAGCAATATGTCGTTAGGGTATTAGCTTGCAACAAGAAGCAGGGGCGGAGGGATTATTTGAAGGAGGGGGGGTCTCCTCCCCCCCCCCCTTGACATGGGTTTCGTGGGGTACCTCGAAAAATTTTGGTATTTTAGAGGGCGAACGGTGCCATTTGGTATCGATTAGAACTATGATTCAGCTAGTCAAAATTCTAACTTCAAAATTCTAATTTCAAAGATTAATAAGACAACAATCATGGTGTTGCCTTGGAATATACCTGACATGAAATTTTTCTTGGAGTTGGAGCCGTCCATGTAGTAGGGAGACATAGAATGGTGGTGTGCGTTCGGTGAGATGTACGGCTTGGCCTCGGCTGCCACAGCTCGGAGGGGAGTTCGATGATGGGCTGTTAAGGTCTGAAATGAACAGGAGGACACGTGTTACAGGTCACATACACTTATTTAACACACACACTCACAAAACATACATATATATATATATATATATATATATAGAGAGAGAGAGAGAGAGAGAGAGAGAGAGAGAGAGAGAGAGAGAAACACCTACATGTAAATGTATATTTAACAGTTGAAAAGCGACGAAGCAATCTACAAATTACCCAAAGAGTACGGCTTGATAAGCAACCCCGCCCCCCAGGACCAACCTCTTTTTTTCAGTAAAAAATGGGGGAATGTGCCTCCTCTGCTTTTACACCGCGATGGATATGTAAGGTTATTTGTGTGCATGTTAGCAGGCGTGTATGGATAAATGACTAAGCAAATATAATATACTCAGTAGGATATATAATTCTAATCATTCTGAAATGAAACTTCCTACTTTTTAGTCAACAAAAGCAGATATTCCATGTGCCGTTATATATAAACTATGGGAGAAGAATTATCTTTGGTAGAAATCTACCACATGGTAATGAAATCAAATAATTTCTTTTAACCATCGCATGTTATCGAAGCGTTGTAAATTATTGTCGACCTTAAAATTGTCTTTAAGTGCCATATTTCACTAGACCGACCACCGATATTGCGTTTGCTGAAGTATGAAATTCGGCTATCATAATGATAATTGCTATAGAAAAGCAGTCTATTGATTCTCTTTTTTATGCACTGTTGTATCTATAAATTTCCCGGAAATCACATCTGGCGATCACTGATGCATAACTCGAAAAATTAGAAATAAAGCGTTGTTCAAGTAATAATTTTTATCCTGAAATATCTTGAAATAGCTTACGGATATTTACTGTTAGATTGTTGTTGGTTATATTGATTACCAACTCATGAATAACAAATTGAATACGACTTGGAATACATATGCGTTTAGTCTCGATGGCATTGAACTTTTTAAAGTGAGTTCCTTTGAGCAAAACGCTACACACCCTGAAAACCATGATGTTTTAATTACTAAGATGCAAGCTAAGTTGCTTACGGGTAATTTGTCTACATTGCTTGGGTCCATTTTACCGCTTTGAAGCGCATCTATCACTCTCAGTTCTTGAGCCTTGCGGTTGTAGGTCCGCTGATCGTTTTCAAAGTCTGAGATGGCGTTGGAGCAATTTTCTGCGTATCTTTTACCAAAATAGTGTTCACTCTTTGGAATAAATCCTAGAAATAATAAACAAAAATACTGAGATTTATTACGATAATTAAAATGCTTGTAAAACAGACCAAAAGAAAGCAGTACACGCTCGCAAACAACATCATCAAAGGTCTTCTGTGAACTTGGGGATCGGAATGGTACTATAATAAGTATGTTAATTAAGCTTGCGATCTGATGCACAGTGGCTCTATTATAATGCTAGATTTCCAATTAACTCTGGTACCTTTTAAGGATAACAATAATTATCCAGCCCTTGCCAACAATGGTGAATAAACAGACTAAGGCATCAAAGCAGACATCAGATCCATTTTTTATCCCTTCCTATCATAAAAAGATGACTCAAAGACCATCCATGAAAAGCAGCAAGACTGTTACATTATCAAAAGCAAACTCACTATGCTGAACAAAATTCCTAAATAAGCCTTACAACTTGTCATTATATTTGATAGAGGTATTTTAAGATACAATTTCCTCAATAACAACAACGTCGAGATCACGGAACAACAGTTGTTCACAATGTTTGATAGGGTTATTAAAATTAACTATTTCCTAAATAACCCTAACAACTTGTTATTAACTTTGATAGGGGTATTATAAGACAAAATTTCCTCAATAACAACAACTTCCAGAGCAAGGGCAGCGCAGTTTTTCATAATGTTTGATAGGGTTATTAAAAGTTACGATTACCTATATAAGCCTAACAATTAGTCATTATATTTGACAGAGGTTCATGAATCCCTTAAATGAGAACAACTTCCAGATAAAGAAGCATCACCACAGATATTGATAGGGGTATTTTAAGGTACCATTCCGGGAATTTCCACAGGAAGAACCATGTGCTATCCCACGTCTCCGGAAATTAAATTGCCATAGTTATATAGAATAATACGGATTCATTTCGTGACTTTTGTAACTGCAACGCAGGAAATTGAAGGTTCTACATAATTCTCCCAATAATTGTTTATTTGATATTAAAATATACTTTTGCAGTCGCACCTGATGTTGTGAACTTACACCAATGGGAACAGCCAATTCGCCCTAGTTGCCTCGATTAAAGCCTGTTGTCCTGCTCGTCTCTCTTTTCTCATCATCGAAAGGAAGAGCGAGAGAAGAAGTAGAGGGAGGGACAAGAAAAGAGGGTCCTTGTCAACACAATGCAAGCTAGCTATGCTCAGTCAACTTCCTAAAAATCACTCTAATGTCTTATGTTTTAATTTGACAATCAGGTGAGGTGTTTTTCAGCAGGCTAGTATCTGGGGCCTTTAACTGCTGGGTAAATAACCAATACAATAGAACATCAATCATTTTCAGAAGCATAGGAATGAAATGGCAGGTATTTTGAGAATTACCTCAACGAATCATACCCATCTTGTAAGGGAGACATACTGTAAAATAGCAACACATGTTCGATCTCCTTGTATTCAGCTGTTAGATAAAAGTGATTGTATCAAATGTGCTTAATCAATCAAGAAATAATAATAATAATAATAATAATAATAATAATAATAATAATAGATGAAGAAGAAGAAGAGGAGCCGGTGTGACAGGAATGGTAGTCCTAGGAATTGAAGTCCGGGGTCCCATATGATTAGAACAGGTGTGGGATAGTCGGAGTATTGGGGTTAGGATATGGGACAATAAAGGACCACCTGTAGAAAGCAAAGGGAAACGGACAGGGGGGCGGACAACGGTTCCCAGCAGACTTCCTTTCCTGTTACACAGGCCTATTCTTTCCAGGTGTTTTACCTGTATACCCGGGTACCATGGCCTGCACCAGTTTCTGGTCCCCCCAGCTGGCCGTCCTCGTCTTCATAAGATGATCCCTCATGTCCTGAAGTTTGTCGGTCTCGGTGAAGGAGGGGTAGATCTCGGCCAGGACTAGCCGCCCAGAGCTGGGGACGTTACAGTCCTGCAGCAGTCGGTTTGTGGTCTTCCCAAACGTTTGGCCTATTTGGTATTTGAACTGGGGACAGTATCCGCCATACCTGGAAATAAAAAAAATAAATAAAAAATAATAAATAAATAAATATAGTAAAATGAATTATTTTCTGGTGATTAATCTCATTGAAAAAAAATTAACATGTCTAACAAAAAAGTAGCAAATGTATCCTTATTGTTTCAAACTAAATGTTACAAATATTTGTCGCATTGTCTGCTTTTCTGTCTGGCTGGGTACCTATATTTTAATCCAGCCAATCGATATATACGACTACCAGTCCTACTTATTTTAGATTGTGATTATTTCTGTTCATAAATATTTCACAATTAAACTATGTTCATCAAAACAATGATCCAGTCTTTAGCATTGTGTAAACTTTGTCTATATTTCTGTATGGATGGGCGTGCGATGGTTTGTATCACTTCCACCGTCTGTTTTCTGATTATTAATGGAATTATCTCATGGGACAGTTATATACACTCAGCCAAAAAAGTTCGGAAACGAATTTTTTCAATAATGGAAAATCTACGTAATGTAGTGAGAAAATCTTCAGCTTATATCAAAAATTAACGAATGGTGGGTGCATTATCCATCAATTTTTGGTTAAAATATTTACGTAAGCTCATATGGTAATTTAATAATTATTCAAAATAACGATTTTCTGAACACCTAAAGGGGGGTTTTCAACTTCAATATGGTTTACGGTCGCTGCCAAATGTCACCATGGCCAAATGTCGCCGTGACTATAACCATTGTGACATTTGGCAACAACATTAACAATTTCACAAGTAAGGCTGAGATTACGTAAAACCATGATCCTATCTGAAGTGAACTCTTGACTGCTCTATTAAATTATTTCTAATCCGGCACAGCAGCTAATCTAGTGGCAAAATGGGATGTAAAAGTGCATCAGAATACGTGTCAACAGTTCAATGTGTCCAAAAAAAATTGCCACACATTTCATTAATTCTCCAGAGATGCAAGCAGAAATTGCGATCACGTTTCGTTGCTCCCTTGTTACAGGGTCATGATCCTCTGTTTCATTGTCCAGCCGCAACCGGCTGAGGAAATTAAAACCTTTCAAAGAAATGCATCAATACATACTGGAAAAAAGCTTACTTATCAAGAAAACCAAAAAGCAAAGAAGGACATGCGTGTTGTATCAAATTCTGGAAATATAAAAAGTGTGCTTTATTTAGTACAAAACGCAGACGTTGACCGCATGAAATAAGATGCCACAGTGTCAGCAATAGAATGGTGCTACTTACCCGGGGATATGATACGGATCTGCCGTCTGGAGGATGCTTTTTCCTTGTGCTGGCAACGGCATTTTACTCTGCTGTACCACCTCAAACTTATGAAGTGCAGGTGAAAATTCAGAGCAAAATAATTTACAGGATGTTCCGACAAAGTTTCTGTGTTTCCGTCGTCTCAGGCCACGGCAGCTGGTCGTCACGCGTTGCTAGGGAAGCGCGCACGAATCCGCGACGTCATCCATTGTTCGCGCATACTCTAGCGTGATGATACGCGCCATGAAAACAATCAACAACTCTACACACAAGTTTACTGCCTAATTTCACCTTTCTCTGTTGATCAAAATAGCGCAGGGCTTTGTTATGGAATTGCAGTGCTCTATGTAAAGCTTTTATAATAGTTTGTATACATTTCTCTTTAGGTGGGGCTGTATGAATATGGCCCTCCAATGAAGGTGAAAGAAAATAGATGAAATGCAATTTCACGTGTGATTTACCCACCATTGAATGTATCATTTAGATGTTTAGATTGCCACTAACTCGCCTCACCCCTGGTCTTTAAAGTCCCGTTGCAAGGTAGCAACGCCAAAGACTTGTTCAACGATATGCCTCTTTGCGAAAATAAACTAAAATAACCTTTTCTATTGCCGAAAAANGAAATGCAATTTCACGTGTGATTTACCCACCATTGAATGTATCATTTAGATGTTTAGATTGCCACTAACTCGCCTCACCCCTGGTCTTTAAAGTCCCGTTGCAAGGTAGCAACGCCAAAGACTTGTTCAACGATATGCCTCTTTGCGAAAATAAACTGAAATAACCTTTTCTATTGCCGAAAAACAAAAACAAAAAACAAATGTGTTCTTTTAGACTTCAGTTTAAACTAAGCTATTCAAAATTCTTTGATGTAATGCCCTCCGTCTTTAATCTCTCCGCTTAAATTATTAATAAACATGTTCACCTGGTATCAATTAAATAACGATTGAATTTAAGCTCACAATTAAGATGGAAATAAATCGTAAACTATAAATGCTTTACTTGCTTTTCTCATAGATATATAAAAACGTTAAAAGTTAAGGAAATGCTTAAAAGCCTATGGACGGTTGGCAAAATCAAAGTTATGATATTGGACAAAGGTTTTAGTAAAATGCTGTGTTTGAAAAAACTCCAGATATAGTTATGGAAAGGTAACAATGTTATTTTACGCTCAGATGTTCATTATGACAGCATTTGGAGATCGATGACGAGAATCTGAGTGATAGAATTGGGGAGGGAGGTCGCCAAAAGAACTGCTCCCCGTACCAATAAAGTGACGTGTAATCATGGTCACAGAGAACAGGAACTGTGCGGACTAGTGGCTCTACACACGCCATGAATATCAGATACCAAAAGTAGATTGTTCTCTGATAAGCCTGCAGTAGTCCATGCCGCACCAGTGTAACCCCATAGCCGCCATACTGGCCATGTATATACAATGTACATTGCCGCAATCAAAGTAATTTTCCACCGCACCACTACTACCCAGGTGAACGCACAAAATGAATAATTATCAATATCTTTAACGAAAACTTTGCGTGGTGCATGCAATCCGAAAGTTGAAAAAAAAAAAAAACGATTTATTTGGAGACGCACAGGGAATTTTTTCCTTATATTGATGTAGTAGAGTGCTTTGATATTTTATTTATCTGTTTTTTTTTTTTTTTTTACTTAATGTCCACAAAATATTATTTGTTCTATTAATCGGCCAAGACACACTCTAGCAACATTTTCAATATTTAGTAGTTCTGCAAAGTTATCGAGGCTAGAAATTTCAGAAGATTTTCACAATGCATGTTACAGAAATCGGAGAATATTTTCCAACACTACAGGTGCTATTCGTCCAATATACTGGCACGATACTTCCGGGTCATCCGATACTTTCGGGTCATCCTCACCCCTGGGAATCTATTCCTAGGACCTGCATTCCTATCACAGCCCTTTAGGTTTGGTCATACTTTCGATACTTGAGCCAAGACCCCCCTCCCCCCCCCCTCCCCCCCCCCCATCCACCAAAAAAAAAAACTGTACGTTAGTTCCAGTAAACTCAATTATCTGCGTGAAATAATTATCATTTTTGTTTTTCCGGATCCGAACATTCTCTGAATGGAAAGAACATGAGAAATGTGGCATGTCTGCTGATGATAGGTTTAAAGCATGCAGGGTCTTATTCAAAGAAAACTTTGTAGTTTTATTCAAATAAAAATAGTTGCGTGTAACTGATTAGCAGTTTTGGACGTCCGCGTATAGTACCATTAACTGTACATACGTGTACATGCAGATTATTATCAAGGTATGATCACGTCTACCATCAAATCATTATTAACTTCGATATCTGAAGATCTAGAATAAAGATGAATGTATTTTGGATTGTTTGATTTCATGTCTTACTCTCATATCATATGTTTTTTTCTTGATATTTAAAACAGAGTTCAAGGGTGCTTTCCCAGAGATTTAGATCGATCTACAGATTAAGATTTAGATCAACCTAACTCCCTGGGGGTTCAGGCTAAATTGCAGTCAGCCGAGCGGACACCATAGTTAATTACCCCCTTACAGCTTTTAGTAGGCGGGACAGACGCTTAAGCCGGCCAAGCTGACAGTAATCTAGTGAGACTCCCCACAGGGATAGATCGATCTAAAAATCTATGGAAATGGGGTGCAAGAGAACAACGGTTGTCTGCATAAAATGATTGAGCTGTATAGCAGGTGTGTTAGCGAAACTTTCGTGCCTTCTCTTCTCTCTCTTTCCCTCCTTCCGTCTACCAGGTCGCTCATTATCCATATCAATATTTGCACGTCTTTTTTGTAATTTATTAATTAAGTTCAACAAAACCAAGTCTGCAGAGTTAGTATATCTATTTCAGTATTTACGTCAATGCATTTTCTGCACATTAGTAAGTTTTGTGCATCCCAATATCCCGCTAGTATCCCGGCAGACTTATTTTGAGGGAAAGAGATTTTTTAATCAACATGAAGCCAGCTGTGTTATTAGAAAACATTACATGACCTACGTATATACATTTTTAACGTAAAATATAAAAAATTCCCAGAAGTTGTGAATAAAGATTTGAGATCAAGTACAGAGGATTAAACGATGGTCGACTAACACGACCTTTGATTGGAAATATAAGAGAGATTTGACACTATGTCTTATTATGTGTATTTGGTGTTGGAAACGCAATCAAAGCTCCCTTTTATAGAGGATTTGTCGTCATCAATTTTCGTTCTCTGATGTAGGGCTTTCTGGTGTCAGCCACTCGCGAGAGATGGCAAGTCAATTTGAGGTTTCATTTATCGCATACGGGATCAAGCCAACCGTGAATTTTAGCTTCTAGATATTTTATTAAGTTCATCCTTAACGCCTCTTTCCCAGAACTGGTGGCTGTGTGATCAAGAGCTCTATACTCATTAGTTTTAGCCAAAAGGTTTTTAGATCTGAAATCGGTTGCCAAACAAACAAATTGATTAACCGTTAATTTAGCCGTCTTTAGCCCTTGAGCTCTCTGTGCAATACTCTCCACGCGGTAATTTTCCTGAGGCCATATTTAACACCATACCTGATACAGAAGGAGCTACATTAGGGCAGTTCTACAGCATTTCACATTCGCTTTACTGTGCGTTAGGTAATACAGCGCGAGGAGCACTTCAACTTGCACCTCATGTGGTCAAGACAACTTTAAGAGACACTATTTTTACTGATTGCCAGCAAATCGATATCTTTGCGGATAAACATTACCGCCGAGTGTTTGTTCGATCAGATTGCTCTTCCATCAAGGATTGAAGGCCATAAAGGGTTTTAACAAACAGATTTCTTTGAGACAGTTCGATGTAAGAATTCAATACATTTTACTTTGTAAAGAGAGAGAGAGAGAGAGAGAGAGAGAGAGGGTGAGAGGGTGAGAAGGAGAGAGATGGCGCCCACATCTGAAAAAGGGTAAATTGTTGAAATGGCGAAGCACTGCCTTATGTATTGGTTGGATTAAATTTGTTAAGATGGCAACGGATACT